TTGCGAGGCCAATGTGAAGGTTGGCGTCCGAATAACCACTCAAATGAGGACTTTAATGGTGCAAAAAGAAAGGTGCCACTTAATACTGTGACACTCTCATCAAGACAAGGCTCACAGTCCCTGAGATGCAAGCCTTCGACAAAACCACTCTGGCTTCATGATCCACAATCTTCTCCACCTTCGCAATGGCCCATGCACGGAGTGTCCAGCATGCCATTTTTGTTTGGTCCTTCTGCTTCACCGAACAGGCAAGATGACTTGATGGACTCCAGGTGGTGCACCATACTCGCAAGCATACACAGCCTCTGCGACATGATGGGACTTGATGCTCGTTTCTCCATGGAATATTTCCGAAACCATCTGTCGGGACACTGACACAATATCCTTGTCCTTTCGAGAGTGCGGGGGCGGAGCAAAGAGGTCGAGCAGAAAGGAGCCGATCATCTAGTTGCATATCTGGATCTCACCGAGTATCCTGTCCATATGTGCAGCCCTAGTTGAATTCATGGGTTTTCATAGGAGCTGAGTAGATTCACCACATGACAGATCATCGAGCATGGAACCACAACTAGCAGCATTGAGAACAGCGGCAGCGGCAGCATCAGAGGAGAAGCAACGGGAGCCGATACATAATAAACGTAACTCTAGTAGAAAACATTATGCGCAATTACAAAGTCCGAAAATCCTGCTCCTAATGAAGTTGAATCTCCGCCCGAAAAAAACCGACCTCTCGACAAGACCCCCGCGTCAAAAAGCAGACTACGTGCGTCCGGAGATGTCGAGCGCCAGAGGGCGTCCGTGGGGCGATTTCTCCGCGGGTTGCAGGCAGGCACATGCCTGCTTCTCCAGATCACGGGAGATGATGTCAGGACGCGTTGTGGATCTGCAGCGACCTGGAATGATATCCACCGGGCGCTTTATCTTCTCGTCCAATGCGGCGGCGAAGTATTTGAACTCGCCATTATCGCTTTCATCGCGCATACATCCCGCTCTCACCACTCCCACCACCCATAGCTGCAATCGCAATGCCTACTAAGCCTCTCGACGCAAAAACGGTGCTCGACAACGATCCATGGCTCGAGCCCAACGTCCCGGCGATCATCCACCGCCACGATGCGTTCAGAAAATGGAAGGACTCCATCGAGCAAAATGAAGGCGGCTACGAGCCATTCACCAAGGGCTATCTTAAGTTCGGTCTGAACGTCCGTGCAGATGGTTCGGTTGTCTACCGAGAGTGGGCGCCGAACGCGATAAAGGCGTCGTTGATCGGTGACTTCAGTGAGTGAGATAGGGACCGTCTAGATGTGCAAACTGCTGATCGCTTGAGCTCGTCCATAGATGAGTGGAACAGGGAGTCCCACCCCATGGCTAAGGATCACTTTGGCGTTTGGGAGATTACTGTGCCTCCCAAGGCCCGAGGTGTCTGTGCGATCCCGCACGATTCCAAAATCAAAGTATGTAGCCGTTGGCGGTAGGACAGGATATATGCGGCATATCTGACATTATCGTCGCAGATCTCCATGGTAATCCCGGGCGGAGAGCGCATTGAACGTCTCCCGGCATGGATCAAACGTGTCACTCAAGATCTGTCCGTATCTCCTGTGTACGATGCACGTTTCTGGAACCCACCCCAGGCGGAACGCTACAAGTTCAAGAACGCGCGGCCTCCCAAGCCCAGGGGCGTGCGCATCTACGAAGCGCATGTGGGCATCTCGACGCCCGAATACAGGGTAGGGACGTACAAGGAGTTCACGACCAACATGCTGCCCAGGATCCGCGATCTCGGATACAATGTCATCCAGCTGATGGCTATCATGGAACATGCATACTACGCCTGTATGTCGATCTTCGTACCCTATTATGGCAATTTCTCATATCCCAACAGCGTTCGGGTACCAGGTCACTAGCTTTTTCGCGGCGAGCTCTCGGTACGGAACGCCGGAAGAGCTCAAGGAGCTGATAGATACTGCTCACGGCATGGGCATCACCGTTCTTCTCGATATCGTGCACTCTCATGCATGCAAGAACGTGCTCGATGGACTCAACCTCTTTGATGGCACGGACCACCAATACTTCCATGAGGGAGGCAAGGGTCGCCATGACCTCTGGGACAGTCGCCTGTTCAATTATGGCAGCTATGAAGTCCTCCGGTTCCTCATGAGCAACCTCCGCTTCTGGATGGATGAGTACAAGTTTGACGGATTCCGCTTCGATGGTGTGACCAGCATGATGTATATCCACCATGGCAATGGGGTTGGATTCTCCGGCGGATACCATGAGTACTTCGGCGAACAGGCGGATATTGAGGCGATCGTATATCTCATGCTGGTGAGTCCTGCGCATATAACCATTCATCACCCGTTCTCATCGATTGTGGTAGGCCAACGATGCCGTGCATTCAATATTCCCGGACTGCATCACGATTGCCGAGGACGTCTCGGGAATGCCCTTGCTATGCAAACCTGTCTCGAAGGGTGGAGTCGGATTCGACTACCGCTTGTCGATGGCTATTCCGGACATGTGGATCAAGCTGCTGAAGCACAAGACTGACGACGAGTGGAACATGTCCAACATTGTGCACACGCTGACTAACCGCCGTTATGGCGAGAAGAGCATTGCGTATGCAGAGAGTCATGACCAGGCGCTCGTCGGAGACAAGACGCTTGCATTCTGGCTCATGGACAAGGAAATGTACACCAACATGTCAGACCTGTCGGAGATGACGCCGGTCATCTCGCGTGGTATTGCCTTGCACAAGATGATTCGGTATGTAAAGAGGCTTGTTAACGGTGTCGTAAATGCCCTGATAATCCCATTACAGACTTCTGGTCCATTCGCTCGGCGGAGAGGGCTACCTGAATTTTGAGGGTAACGAGTTTGGACATCCGGAGGTTAGTCTTCCCCCATCGGGTGTTCAATGTTTACTCACGCTTCGCAGTGGCTGGACTTCCCCCGCGAGGGCAATGGGAACTCGTTCCACTACGCGCGCCGCCAGTGGAATGTGGTCGACGACCCTATTCTGCGTTACCGGTACCTCAACGAGTTCGACAAGGCGATGAACCACACCGAAGCCAAGTATGGCTGGCTCGCGGCAGAGCCCGCGTATGTCTCGCTGAAGCACGAGGTGGACAAGGTGATCGTGTACGAGCGCGCGGGGCTGCTGTTCGTGTTCAACTTCCACCCGACCAAGTCCTTCACGGACTACCGCGTCGGCGTGGAGGTGCCGGGCGAGTATCATGTCATATTGACGAGCGATGAGCCGCGCTTTGGCGGATTCGGTAATGTGCAGCTCGGCGGACAGTACCTCACTACGCCCTTGGGGTGGAATGGAAGGAGGAACTGGGTGCAGGTAAGTGCCACGACGGGGAGACCTTCTTCGACTGTGAAAACTGACGGGGTCCCCCATATACAGGTGTACATCCCGACGCGCACTTGCGTCGTGCTCGCAAAAGACTAGATACTGGGGCGGAGTATGCATGCTGGAACGAGGGGAGAGGATGAAAGGACTCTACTTGTAACATGATTCACTCGATCGCGACGTGTAGTATAGGTGCCGTCAAAATTGAGCAATGTGTGTGTTCGTGAAATTCACAGTTCTTCAGGCTGACAGTAGCATGTACATACGGGAATGTCTGAACTGCCCGAGCCAACAAACGAGCAGCTAACTTCGACGCACGGCCGTGCGGTGGCTGATGATATCCTTCGAGACAATCAATTCTCAGCTTGCTCAGCACCACATTGGACTCTTTCCAGGCTACGACTGCGGAAACAGACGGGCCCGTGCGAAGGAGGACAGATCGTGATCATACGCAGTTCATCCGCCAGACGGTGACATAACCTCGAGGCTGCACTGCCGAGAGCATTCGCCACTTTCCAAATTGGATATCCCCACGATGCGTGGAGTGTTTCCAGAGCCTATATATCATCCTCCATGAACGATTGCTCCCTCTGAGCTACCGTCAAACCATGGCAGACGAAAGGCCATTAACTGACGACATCGAAAAGGAGACGGGCAGCATTCCTGCGCCCGTCGTATCTTCCCTTCCCTTCAGATCCCGCCGCGTACTTCCTAGACCAAAGGTCATCTTGGCTTGTTTCGCGATTGTGGCCTTGATACATTACCTCGGCTGCTGGGTCTGTCAGATCAACAAGGACATCTCTGCACAGGAAGGCTTCTGGATTACGAACGGTTTCTCACAGGACTTTCGCATTTTGCAACGTGTCCCGCCCCACAGAGCCCCTTTCGGCAAACTCGCTGAGGCGGCATTCCTGTAAGCCGCGCATATATCCATCGCAACATCCTCTGATGAACTAATTCAATGATTGAAGAGCGGTCCCGAATCCAGCCAGTGCTATTCTCGCATCTCGACAGTATGCTACCAAGCCGCATCTCGCAGGTTCCCCGGGCGACTATCAGACCGCGAAAGACTTCTTGGAGCTCCTTCAGACTGAGCTGGGCATCGACACACCTGGGGCTGAGCCCGTGTTCCCAGCAGGGTCTGCCGAGTCGCGGGAGGCGACATTGTCCATCACGAAGCGGAAGCACCCGACTGCATGGATTGATGTGTACTATCCCGTGATGAACACGCCGCTCGACCGTAGTCTGCAGATTCTGGATGACGATGGGAAGCCGGTCTGGACGGCGGAGCTGGAGGAGGTTGCGGATGAGACGGATCCTGAGGCGGGGAAATACAAGGATGCTGTGCCGACGTTTCACGGGTACAGCAAAGGCGGGGAGGCGAAGGGTAAGCTTGTATATGCGCATTATGGGAGAAGGGAGGACTATGAAGCACTCGTTGAGATGGGTATGAATGCCTCCTTTGTCGGAGAATGAGTATCAACTCATCTTCACGTTGGATAGGCGTCGACCTCAAAGGCTCTATTGTGCTTACTCGTTACGGGGGCATCTTCCGTGGGTTGAAGGTAGGAGTGCCGTACTCATCAAAGAGAAGATCGTTCATTTATGCCGTGTACAGGTCAAAGGTGCCCAGGAGCTAGGCGCAGCAGCGTGCCTCATCTACTCTGACCCTCGTGATGATGGCACGGTCACGCAAGAGAACGGATACGACGCGTACGTCGCGAACTCCCCGTCGAGACCCTGAAACTCACTGACTAACTGTTCAGGTATCCTAACGGCCCTGCACGCAACCCATCCTCAGTCCAGCGAGGCAGCACGCAGTTCCTGTCCATCTATCCAGGGTACGTCCTTAGTACCTCGCCAGCTTAGGTCACGAGCTGACCACCTTGGATTGTAAACTTAGCGACCCGACCACGCCTGGTTACCCCTCCTACGAGAACAGCACCCGCGAAGACGGGACGAACATTCCAAGCATTCCTAGTCTGCCGATCTCGTGGGCCAATGCAAAAGTATTACTCGAAGAAATCAAAGAAGGCGGACCGCACCGCAACATCTCATTGGTCAACCATGGTAGGGATTCCATTGACTGTCTCGCAGGCAATGATCCAACCCATTGTTTATAGTTGATGATAGGGTCATTCCTATCTGGAACACGATGGGTGTCATTCCTGGACACATAAGTCAGGAGGTAGTTGTCATTGGGAACCATCGCGATGGTACGAACCCGACTTTGTCGAACCGCGTCTTGCATTGCTCACGGACTTGCAGCGTGGGTGATGGGTGCAACTGACCCATCTTCTGGCACTGCCTCCATCCATGAGGTGATCCGCGGCCTGGGCGTGCTTTTGAAGGAAGGCTGGAAGCCTCTCCGTACGATTGTTATTGCCAGCTGGGATGCAGAGGAAGTAAGGAGCGAGTTGGCCAGATTGACCCATCAACCAGGCTGATATCTGTTTCTCATAGTATGGCTTAATTGGAAGCACTGAATGGGGCGAGGATTTTGCGGACTGGATTCACGAGCATGTCGCCACCTATCTGAACCTTGGTGCGTTCCTGGCAATATGTCAGGAGCTGGGTGACGAATATGCTTACATTGAGCTTTATAGACTCATCCGTCTCGGGTTCACGGTTCGAAGTCTCCGGATCTCCTTCGCTCGCACACTTCCTGCGTGCAGCCGCTGAGGACGTTGCACACCCGACGAAGCTGGGCTTGACGCTCTGGGATGCGACCAAGGATAAGGGTCCGTTGTACGGTGACCATCTTGACGAAGACGCCGTGAAGCTCTATGAGCAAGTCGAAGAGCAACGGGCAGAAGATGAGATCGGTGTGGGTGTCCTTGGCTCCGGAAGCGATTTCACTGTGTTCCTGCAGCGTATCGGGGTACGCCACCTTCGTTCCTTTGTCGTTTGGCATGGTGATGATGAATTGACATATAGGTTGCAAGCGCAAACAGCGACTTCAAGTCTACACTATCGGATCCTGTTTACCATTACCATTCCGTATTCGACTCGGAGCGTTGGCAGGAGTTGTATGCCGACCCCGGGTTCTTACGTCATGTGAGCCATATTGCATCGACCTTGTTCATGCCTGTTTTCAACCAGGATATAGGTCGCCATGGCCAAATATCTGGGATTGCAGACGTTGCGTCTCGCCGATGCGATCGTGCTTCCCGTCAACACGACCCATTATGCGGTACAGCTTGGTGTATATCTTGATCAGTGCGTCCACTTTCGAACTCGTCATGTACCTCCGTCGCCTGACACCGTATTGGACAGCGTCGAGGAACTGGCAGCGACTTCGTCAATTGACGTCGACTTTGCCCCACTGAGAGAGTCGATCGAGGCGTTGCATGCTGCTAGTGCGCTGCTCGACGAGGAGAAGATCGAAGCAGAGCGTGAGCTCAAACGTGTCGCCAGGCAGATTGCTCGACGTCACTACATCAAGCACAAATTGCACAAGGCATGGTGTAAGCTCAGGAAGCTGTTAGGCAGACCCTGCCACAAACATCATGACGACGACGATGACGACGATGACGACGGTAATAACCACCAACTCAGCACAGATCGACCAACTCACGTATACCCTCGCACACTGCCAGGCGATAATAACGGCCGTCTCCTCAGGCCCCGCGTGGGTCGTGCTCCCGCCTGGCTGCGTGAGCAGCGGGAGAAGCGCGAGCGCGAGCAAGCGGAAATTGCGAAACACGCATGCTATGTCAAAGAACCTAAGGACAAGAAGGACAAGGAGCTGAAAAAGAGATTGAAGAAGGCGATCAAGCGCGTCAAGAAGGTCAACAAGAAGCTGACCCAGTTCGAGCGCGGCTTCATCCACCCCGATGGCATCAAGGATCGCGAGTGGTACCGCCACTTGGGTGTTGCCCCTGGCAAGTGGCTAGGTAAGCCACCGTGTCTTGTTTGAATATCAGCGATTGACGAGGTTTTCTGGTCCAGGTTATGGTGCCACGACGTTACCTGCGTTGACGGAGGCTATCACATTTGAAGCCAACGCGACGCTTGCCCAGTATGAAGTAGAGCGGTTGAAGGGGCTTATCGACCATCTTACGCACAAGATCCGAGTCAAGTCTTGAAAATTTTGTAAGATAGTCTAGTGTACCACGTCTCGGTATTGTAATTGTAATGTGCGCCCAATCTCACACTCTAGTTTCCCAGCCTACGAAGCAATGTCGTGAAATTCGTAAAACTCGAACTTTGAGAATATATTCTAAGCATCGACATATATAGACTCCCGCCTTCTCCCATGCAAAAACAAAAGAAACTCCGGGTCCGTAGTATTTGGATTGGACTTCATGCGACAATCATGTAAATGTTCGGCCGCCGGCTGCGATATTGCCGAAGGACATGTCCCTCATCTTTCGATGGTACTCCAGTATGATCTACTGTAAAGTCAGTAACTACGCAAAGGATAGTGCATACTTCCGCTTACGGGGTAAATCGATCTGTTCCCAGTCTGGCCACAGATGTGAAGGCACGACAATCTGATCAGCCGCACGGCGTGGCATCTTGCCAGAGGAGATTGTGACCGGAACGATACTGCACAAATTGTTCAAGAACCCGCTAAACGGTACTTCAATATACAAGAAGTACTGCCAATGCGGGTCAGCCGTGCGCGTTTGCAGGCAAGTCGGAAAAGACCCGCTGACCTCATTCTTCACTAAATAATTCGTGAACGTCGGTGGGCAGCTCAGCCTGAACGAGGAGCGAAACGTCTTCCGTTGCCTCCACTTTCCCTTGGAGGACTTGGCGAGGGGGACCCACTGACACTGCGACTCGCATATCTCCACCGCGCCATGCGAGCGGCCCATACCACCAAGCCGAGAGACATCCTGGACTGAATATTGGCTCCACATCCCTGCCTTCACGTGCACTCTGCGCTTCAGCTTGAAATGCACCTTCTCCGGGTGCATCGGGGGCACTGGCCAGATCTCCTTGCCATCGTCCGAGTCCAGCGTTTTGCTGAGCGTCGATACTGATATCCGGAAGGGGATCTGGGTATGCAGGGGGAGAGCGGGCACGAGAGGAAACGCGAGCTACTTGCGATGTGAGAACGAGATGATACCATCATTCAGCTTGTCCACGAAGGTATCGTAGAGTTTATACGCGCTCACCTCCACGCTCACATCGGCGAACTCTCCCCAAAACCCGCGCCGAATCCGTTTATTCTCGGTGATGACCTTCCAGGGCCCATTCCAGCCGCTTCGAAGACCAGTCCTCACCTGCGCGCCGACCGGATCGGGGGATACCACCGCTAATGGGTGCTGCGACCGGAAGTTCGTGCGCAGCGCACCCGGACGGACGCCGATGATCTCGACAAAGTAGCGGATCGTCGCGTCGACTCCTGGGTAGCTGATGTCGAATGAGGGCGGTACGCTCTCCGGAAGCTCAAGGCTGAACGGCATGGTCAGAGAGTGGGTCCCTGGTGAGGGGTAGACGATCCCACGTGTCCAAAGGCACTCGCGCGAAGATAGCAAGCTATCGAGCTGCCGCTGTTTCTGGTTATTCCGCGATATACAGCTAAGCTCATCAGGTAAGCGGATCCGTCTCGTTTTCCACGGTCGAATGGCCAACGTACGTGCGGACGTAGCCCCGGAGGAGCACTTGCACCTCCTCTATCTGCTATTCCTGCAGTTTCTGGAAGTCGAGGGTCACCGTGCCGCGCACACGCTCTCCGGCGACCCACGTCGTCTTCGCGAGCGACATACGGACAGGCGGCGGACAAGGCATACGGTGGGCTCTGCCGGTGGTGGAACAGTTTTGCGGTTCACGCGATAGCGACGGGATGTGATTGACTCGGGCCATAGGCAAATTCCACTCAGCGTCTCATCCGTGACACCGCCATCACGACAGACAGGCGCATTGCGGCATTTAGGCCGTGGCAAACGTGTGCAATTCTCAGTTAGCAAATAGCCTCTGCTTGTAGAGCACGACATACCGCCATACATGCGGCTTAGCTTGCCTCTCGGAGCTCTGTGTCTCGATCACAAGTGGCCCGTTGCTAGTAGCGCCTGTCTGAGCGTTGCCGAGGCTAATAAAAGCTATACGGTCAAGATGCGGATCGACTTTAAGCGTGCTGACGGTGCGGATAGTGCTCATCTACAGTCTCGACCCGGCGGACGCACCGTCTGCGGTTCCAGACATCCAAAGGCGCGATTTTTCGAGACTAGCGCGGCCTTCGGTCCCAGCAAAGCTCTGGATGGTGGCAATGATGGCGTTGGAACAGGGCTGCCGACAGCGTGTATCTTTGATTATGCAGATACAGCTGACCTGTCTTCACTGTGCTTCCGGCTGGAGCTTACGTGAAGTATATCGAGCAACCGGTAGATCGCCGCACATGCGTAACCTCCGTCATCGCTAAAAACTCAAACTTCTGTAGAGCCGTTTCGTCAGAGCCTCGAGTTGTCGGCCGTCGTAATTAACTTCACATTAGCACAGACTCACGCTGGACCCGAAACAAATATGTCGCGTGGCCCCCACACTGCGTTTCTTACGCTAGTGGACAGCACAGCCCACGTGGCTCTCGAACCTTATAGCGACAACGCCCGACGAAGCCACGAGCAGTGGCGGGAGGGACACGCCATCGCTCTCGGCGAGTCGGCGACTGTGCAGCCACAGACGCGTCGGCACGTGCTACTACCCAGTGATAAGGTCTGGCAGGTCAACGATAAGTTCTTATTACAATCTCGATTTTTCCTTCCCCGCCTTCCGCACGGTCGTGCACGCGATGCGGGGGCTCAGGCCTATTTTATAGAGTTCGCTGAACTTCAAGGCACTGAACTTGATGGCGATCAATTAATGACTCCAAGACACGATCTGTTTATCGGACGCATCGCAGCATGGGTCGGTCCTATACGTTTTCATATTGCGTTGCCATCGTATGGATTGGAGGCGTTATTTTCATTGAACGCGCCAAGTATTGCAAGGGTACAATCACAACAAATGAATTAATGATTAATGATGGTCCAGTCCTAATTTATGAACACCTACGATTGACATCAAGCATTCGACGGTCCTATTGGCTGTGGCCAGTTATATCGTAGTTTCTTGTGGAACAGTCGTACGAATATCGATGGTCCATTAGGCTGGCTCAAGCTTCAAAGAATTCAAAGGGTCAATATCCCTTGTTTTCGTATTTTTGTCTTGTTTCAATTACGGAAAGAACCAAACGCATGGGGTCTGCGAGCCATACGTATATACAGCTGCAACCAGCCTATCTGGCGAGTAAACCCCACCGTCGCACAGTTAGTGACGAACTACACCGCACTAATGGTATCAAAACTACTCGACGGTCGTCATTCGTACATTATACCGCGCGTAGCAGGGACAAGATAAGTAGTGCGCCTATACCAGTACAGTATCGAGGGTTACGACAACAACGACAAAGGCAAAGGCGAAACAGTCCGAAAAAAAGACAGTCATCGTAGAATCATGTGAATGTCACCGTCAGTCAAGAGTCCACTGTCCAGAGGCCAAAAAAGTCCCTCTACAGTCCAGGGTATGCCGTCCAGTGTTCATGCGAGAGATACCAGGGCGAGGGCGACGGCCAGGCCTGTCGCGATCCCCGCGTGCGCCCACGGCAGAGCATAGCGCACCTCCGCCGCGCTCTTCTGCGCGCTTCCAGCCGACGGCGATACCGACGACGACGCCGAGTGCGTGCTGCTCGTCACAGCGCTTGATGATGGTGCGCTCGACGTGCTCACCGCACGCAACGTTCCTCCCGAAATCGTTGCGCTCGCGCTCGTGGAGCTGGAAGCATTCGCCACATTCAATTTCGCGTTCGCCCCTCCCCCATTGCCCGCCCACGCGAGCGCCCAACCGCCGGCCGCTTCGACCGTGCCCTCGTCGCTGGGCCCGCCGGCGTCATCGCTACCCTGGGTGTCACCCACGACGTTCTGCCACGCGTCCCCGCCGTCCAATCGCGCGACGCTGACGATGTTCCAGCCATTCTGGCCGATGAGTGGGAACGCGTTGATGTACGCCTGCACGGAGTCATTGCTCAGCTCGTGCTCGAGGATGATGAGACCGGGGCTCTTCGGGCCGCTGTACCACTGCTCGAGGTTCGATTCTACGGTCGCGAGGTCGGTTCCTCCATCCTCGCCGATGGACCAGTCTGCCGTGCTGTAGATATATGCGCATCAGTCATTGCTCATAGGAAGGATAAACTGGCCACGCACTCCTGGTTCCAGAGAATAGTGGTGAGTCCGAAGACCTCCTTCGCAATCGCGTGCACGCGCACGTCCGTGTCTCCGTACGGCGGCCTCCAGAAGCGCGGCAGGCGGCCGCCGGTTGAGTTGTGGATGAGCTGCATCGTCCATCCGAGCTCGCCGATGACCTGTTCGTTGCTGAGAGTGGTCATGTACGGATGTGTGTAAGTGTGCACCGCGATGTCATCTATGATGCGACGCGTAAGCTCATATTAGAAAATTGTGATTGATGGAGCGCGAGCGAACATGCCTTGGTTGGTCTGGAAGGCCTGCAAAAATTGGTTCCAGTAGCTGATGATATTGACACCAATCATAAAGTGCGTCGCGTGCACGCCATTCTGTTGGAGGAAATTGTACAGGTCTGTGGAGGGCTACGCCGCGCAAATCCATCAGTCGTTTTCGTTGACAAGTCTGTGCTCGCGATGCGACTTACAGGTAGCGGACCATCGTCGAATGCGGCTCCGGCGACACCGTCTGGAGCGTCCCAGACGTCCCCGTCGATCCTGCATTGGTATGTGCCCGAACATACATCTGCGGAGGTAGGGTCGAGGTTGTCAGGGTAGTATGGGTTCCCGTCGGAACCCATGGTGGACTGGGGAAGGTTGGGGATCGTGCCGGCGGAGACGGCGGCGTTGAGCGCATCGACCCACGGTTGAGGGAGATTATCTGGGTCGGGGGACCACGACGGGAATGCAGCAGACCATGCTGATTACGGAGGGTAAGCGCGCATAAAACCACGCGACGTCAAAAGAACACGCACTTGGAGAGCCTACTTCGGCGTATTGAATGCCGTCCGTAGTCTCTTGTCCCTGTCGTCGGAAGAGAGCATGAGCAGGGTGGTCCTCGCGATGGTACCAAGTGCTCGGAAGTCGTTTGTCGACGTTACGGTGCGCGTGCGTGTGGGCATGTGTAGTTGGGGTAGGGGCTCTAGGCTGATTAGGAATTAGGGAAGCAGAGGTCGTAAGGGTATAGAATGCTGCTAATAAGACAAATGAGCGAAGAGCAGTCATGGTGAGTCCAGACTGCTACGGGCAAAGTAGAATGTCGAAGACAGCGCGACAGGGCACGAGGAAATGTTGGGTTTTTATCAAGAACGAACGGATCGGCACGAGACGATGCCGGGACGGTGCCATGGCTTGAGATGAGCTAGGGGGTCCCTAAGCGGGCCTGCGTGCCGAGACGGCCAATGCTCTCCGCCAGCTTTTCCTACTTGCCTGATTTGGGACTGTGTCTTCCTTTTTAGGAGCGTGCGACGATCGAGGCCACGCGCGCGATGCCTTTGCTCGGCAGGCCCATTGCGCCGTACGCGGGACGCCACCGTCGCGTAGAGGGCTCTCCTCGTCTTGTTCATCTCTTTGCCACCGTCCAGACCTATCTTGGCTCCTTCCCCAGGGCAAGCCGTTGCCAGGGCCGACGAGATGCCCCCGTCCTCACTCCGCGACGCCGAATTGCGTGTGCATCTGGCCTTGAAATTTTCACGATACGGCATCCTCAAGCCGTCGAACTTCGTCAATTTAGCCTCCAATCAGATGAGCAATAAGAAAGCTTTGCAACCCAAAGCAAAGCGCAAGAAACACTGACCTTGGATAGGAGGGGCTAGGCCATCACGTGAAGAGACATGATCGTGCTGCGCACACCTGGACCACAAGTGCTCTGTGAAAAGTCCATCAATACAGCTCCGTCCGGCGCACCACTCTTGGTTCCGCTACCGCAGCGACTCGCCAGTCTCGCCTGGCTTATTCAGAGAGATACCAGCGGAACCTGGGACTCTGGGATATCAACGAGCACTACAAGGTAGCCAAGCAGGTGTATTCTGATTTAAAGGGAAGTCACCTGCTGATGGTTTGCATCATCTCAGGAACAATTATCTGAACAGCTATGTATATTAGCCGTATAATGAACACAAGCGAATCACCAAAGATGTCCATAATCCTGGAGGCTGAGCATGCACCGCCTTTACCTAATCGTACAATCCCAATCCTATGCCTCACGACGCAGCCGGGCTTACCGCCTGCGACGTCGGCGATGCACCTCCTGCCCCCGGCCCAGGGCCCACCGCGTCCCGATATGCCGGCCTCAGCACCAGCACCCCCAGCCGAAGGTGAGCCACCTCCTTCACCAGTGCAGTGAATCGCACCTTCTTCGCCTCATCCGTCAGCCATGGCGTGAAATGGTGAATGCAGTCCCGCGTCGTCGCGCCCGGCGTGTCTCGCAGCCACTCGATGACCATCCGATCCTCCAGCTCCGTCGTCGGTGGCGGCGCATGACTCCTGCGCTTCTTCTTCGGTGCGCCCTGCGTAGATCCAGCACCGCTAGGGCCAACGGGCCCACCGGTGCCGTCATCCGTCGCCTTCCGTTTGATGGAGGGCTTGCCGTTTGCAAGCGGCGACGTTGGCGAGGTCGGGCTCGTCATACGGCCCGCCAGTGGCGATGTGGGACGCATGCCAGTGCCAGGAATGGGCACCTTGGGCATCTTCGGGCTCGTCGCGCGCTTCGCGACGATCGAGTGCCCGCCGTGCCCAGCGATGGGTGACGTCGGCCGCGACAGATCGAGCTGCGGTGACTCCGTCTTGACCTGCATTGGCGTCTTGGTACCGTTGATGTGCGTAGGCGTAGCTGAGGGCGTGGGGAAAGAGGTCGTTCCTTGGGAGGGCGTGCGTGGTTTAGGCGAGGGAGGGATGATTGCGGGACCGGTCTGGACGGGCACGGGCACTTCCTCCTCCTCCTCTTCGACCTGTGCATGGTGAGGGAACACGAAATAGATATGAATAGAGTGTGTGCACGTACCTCGCTAGCGTATGGATTCTCCTCCTCATCACTCTCCTCGTAGCCACCGTCCTTCTCCAGCTTCTGCAGCGTTTTCTGCAGCGTCTTGCCTGCACGGGTAAGGGTAGTCTCCTCTTCCTCTTCGCTCTCGTCAACGTACCCTTCCCGAGCCTTGTTCGCACTCTTGTATTCCTTCTTGAGCCGCTCCTACAAATGTCATATAAGGTGTGAATTCTGTGGAACAACGTAAGCGCAAACAACCCACCTCGAGCTCCCTCGCCTCCTCGTCCTCCCGATCCTCCATATCCATCTTCTCTTCATCATCCGCGAACGTCTCCTCGAAATCCATCTCATCCACATCACCCTCCGCCCCGAGCTCTCGCTTTATCTTGCGCTTACGCTCCTCGCCGTCCTCATCATCATCGCCGAACAGTCCAGCCATGCCGCTGTCAACTGTTCTTAATCGCCGGCCGCCCGGTCCGAGACTCGTGCTGGCCGTGACTGGTGCCACACTTCCCTCGCGCTCGGCCTTGAACAAAGCTTTCGTAGCATCAGAAGCATTCTGTCCGTATATGCGGCGGAGGACGCGCTCCGGCTCTTTGTTCTTCTGAATTTTGGCCATCTAAAGTCGAACGGTGATTAGTAAGACGACATTTAAATCCATGAGCGGGGCATGCAAAGAGTCGATTAGACATACCAATGCTTCTACCTCCTCTAACTGCATAGGGACGCGGTAATTCGGCTGCCTCTGGAACTTGTACCATCGATGCGCAGGGACAAACTTGAATATATCATTCGCAGCCGGCATGAACATGGCAAACAGCTCCGCTTTAGACACCTCCTCCATCTTCCCGATCCATGTCTCCTTCCCAGACGCATCCTCCATCACCCACGGGTAACGCTCCTCCTTCCGTAGCTGCCGAGTCTCCTCGGGTACCAGGTACACCTGCCTCGTCTTCTTCTGGAACCGCTTCTTCTGCGGCGCCTTCTCCTTGTCCTTCCCTTTGTCCCCTCCGTTCGCCTGCGTCTCCCCAGAACGTATTGGCCGCCCCTCCGAGTCCACCATAACCATCTTCCCATCAGGCCCTATCACAGGCTTCCCGTCGGGGCCCAGCATGGGCCCGACCGCCTGTGGGACCGCCGCCGCTACACTATCGTCCACCTCGCGCCGCGGCTCCTTCCTATTCAGCCGGACTGGCGTCGTCCACTTCGTGATATCGATGTTCTTGCGCGAGTCAAACTTCATGATGTCGTACTTCCACCCGTTCAGCGCGGACGACATCAGGCGGAACTCGGAGTAGGGACCGTCGGGCAGCGGCGTCATCTCATCGTCGTCGTCCTCCTTCTTCTGCGGCTTCGGCTCGCGCGGACGCGCCGGCTGCGATGGTTTGCCCGGTGAAGGGGATCGTCCGGCCTCTGACTCAGTCTTGGGAGCTGCTGCCGCCGCTGGTTTTTTCTTCTTCTGGTGGAAGAGAAGGGCCATACCCGTAGCTTTAGGCGCCATGGCTGTGTCTTTAGTCTGTCTGATCTCGAGAAAGCACACGGCTGGAAAATGTGAGCGATCTGCTCGTTCTATAAATGCCTGAGGGCGCGCAGGCGGATATCAAGGAAGATCGGTAGGCGGGCTGGTGACGGCTCCAGTTAGAGCATGGCTATGGCTGAGCGCGACGACGCGCTGCCCTTAAGCTCGATCTCCGCTCCAATTGCAAAGTGTGCCGCCCAGTGTGACAAACGTGACAAAGCAAATCAGGTGCGCGTCGATCGTGGGCGTGACGGGCTTAGAGATAGAGTACCTCAATCCATGTATGTGTGTTTGATGCGTGCGTAGCGACAAGATAATGAAAATGTTGTGTAAAACTACTACAGAAACACTTGCGGGGCATCTAAAAACATAGAATGTCCGTCACTCGTACCATAATTAAGTGGACACGGAGCTCAGGCTCCATAAGAGTCATTACTTTCGTATCCACAAATGCAATGCCAGTGCAATGAGAACATACACAGCCCAATCCACGTCCCTGAGAGTAGCATCGACGTCATGGTCAAGGCCGGAATACGGCATCGCATAAGGGATTCATCATACCTTTCAATACCAAGACATAACCGGTGCACGACAACAACACAGCGGCCAACACACCGAAACACGATCCTATGACGGCGTATCCGTCCTTGGCATTGGCGCACCTGGCCCCCCACCACCGGACGCGCTCGAAGGCTGTCCACCCGAGGGCGGGCCAGGCGGGAATACGTTCTCGGACGAACCTGGCCGCGAGAGGGATGGCTGAGCGGAGGCAGAGTGGGGCTGGTGCGACGAATGAGGTCCTTGGTGCTGGGACGCCGCCTGGTGAGGCTGTGGTGGCGGCCCAGAGGGGGGAACAGGATGAGGATACGTAGGGACACCCACGGGTGCGTGTGTATACACGACAGCCTGGGGGCCACCGGGAAAGGGAGGCGGCATCCCGTGTCGAAGATTGTCCAACTCGTGTCGTAGCATGTCGATCTCGCGGCTCATGTCTTGGTGACTCTGCTTCAGCGTGACGATGAAGTCGATCGCTATCGCGAGAGATTTATTGAGAGGCGTGAGCGGTCGACGTTCGAAATGTTAGCACATACCTTTGCTGAGGATCTCCCACTTGCTCGCCTTCATCCCTCTGTCCGCAGGAAGCTGGTCACGAAGCTCGTCAAAGAGATCCTTCATCTCCTTCCGTCTCTTCCTCTCCGCAAGCTTGTGCGATACACGGAGCTCGGGGGAACGCGAATAGGGTGTGGATCCAGGCTCCTTGAGGGAATGGTGGGTCTGCTGTAGAGAGACATCCTCGCTCTTTGCGCCGCCTGCAGGAGGAACGGATGAAGGGCCGGCGAGGTTGTTGGCGCCTGATTGGTCTGCGGCACGTACACGCGACGGAGGACGGGAGCGTGACCTGAGAACGCGCGTTGGACCTGTGGATGGCGGGGGAGCGGGCAAATTTTCTGGAGCGATGTTTGGGGCAGACATTCGGCGATCCTGAGGAAAGGGGACGGGAGGCATGATGGCGAGAGGATCGTAAGGGTGGGCAGGAGCGGCCATATTAACGGTGGCCTCGTTCTGCATGGGGTCGCCTGCCGCCTGATCGGGATGCTGAGGGGTGGCAGCCTGAGGCCACGCGAAAGTAGCGATGCCTCCAGGAGGTCGGCCATGTGGCGGATCGGCAAACGCCGGACCTGGCGTGGAGTAGCCACCCAACGGCGTGCTTGCAAACGTCGAGCTCATCTCCCGCCTCTCAGCTCCCCACCACGACGACCCTCCTCCCACTCTCGCATCCACAGACGTTCGACGATCATACAAACTCAGCTGTGCAATTTTCGTGTCAAACGTCGATCCTCGCCGCTTCGACGCAGGCCCTCCACCAGCCACGTTCTCTCCGCCCGACGTCCCTGGCCCAATGAGCAGCGAATCAACGCTATCGGGCCCAGGCACACGCGGCCTTTGCTCTATTGATATCTTGCGTTTCGTACCTTAAGGCAAGAGAAGGTGAGCATCTGTCCCCGGATCATAGGAGGCGTTAAAGTACCAGTCGCAATCGAGTCTCGCCGCGCACTGTATTCCACCTCTCCGGACTCACGGCTCGTTTGCGGATGCTGAGAAGCGCCCCGCTCACGCTCACGGTCTTGCGAATCAACGTCCATATTGTCAGTCCCCTTCACCCTACTCGACTCTGCGAACAAACCCGAACTCGCTAAGCTGCTCCGCACGTGGATCGTAGCGCTAGTGTTACCTCCAGTGATACCTTCTGAGGGGCCAGACATACTTCTCTCAGGTCCACCGCCAGAGTCTCGCGTCCCATCACTCAAGCCGGGCCTTTTACTCGCGTCAGCGGAAGATGATCGTAACGGCCTCCTGCTGGATTGGCTACTGTTGCTTCCCGAACTTTGTGTTGATGCTTCCCCAAACCTGAAAGGCGACGCAGGGCGGACTAGTGCTGGAAGGCCCGGAAGACCCGGAAGACCTCGCGAACGCGTATCGTGAGATGTCGGCGGTGCGGAGAAGCCAGTGCCGGGTGGCGAGTTCAAGTGTCGGAGGGACGCTGGAAGGGTGGCGACGGCGCCGGTGTTAGTCATGTGTGAGTGAAGCGTTGGGCCAGCGTGCAGCGAGGGGTCTGTGATGGATCCTCTCCGCTGATTTTGGAGGTATGCTAGAGGGGCAAGAGGCGTGACGGGCGAATGTCGGGAACCGATGATACGCGGGGACGCGGCGTTGTTCTGAGTACCCCCGGAATTGGGAGCCGGACCGCCAGTCGAAGAGCAAGGTATGCCTGTTGGCTCCATAGTTGTGTGTAAGGGGGAGTCTGCGGACGAGGGAGTAGAGGGAACTCGGGCAGCTTTTAGCTTGATGCCCGTACTCGAATCTGGATGGTTGAGGAAGAGAACCTCGACGCGTGGCTGCCACACGTCCCACGTGGCTATCATAGTACGCTACCTCAAATAGGTACATTGTATGATCGCGTCTCTGCGAAGTCTCTTGAACGGTTGGCGTTTTTCACAATGCACAACAGTTCGCTTGTCAACGGAGACTTGGCTGGGACAATTCTGGCAGCCCTCCCCAGATACGCATGCGCAATTCGAGGTTCCAAAACGACTGCCGCGATTTCAATCTATCATCGTTCGTGACATCCGTGCGATATTATCGATCGTACATAACCCCACTGTGTCCGCACCCGCCCACGTTTTTTGTTGAACGTCGCTATCGAATTTGGCGCGAGAAGGAGACGGAGGCATGCACAATCATTGCGGCAGACGATTGGATTGGAGAGCGGCTTGGTGCACATGCTCGACTTCGAATTCTATTTGATCGCGCCTTTCTAATGGTAGCCTATTCTGGAACGTTGAAACATCAATCTATGATCACCAGACTACCGAGTGGTTCAGGGACGATTGTGCACCGCAATTTCGCACACTTCATGCCGGTGAGATGACTCGATATCTTCAGAAACTCCGTAAATCAAGCTCAATCAATACGAGACTAGAAAGATTATGGTCGTGATTGGTGGTCAGTTGCAGGCAATGAACACGCTGCAAAACTCCATGGAGGGAAAAGAAGTCGCTCGAGGAGGCTGCGGCGCTCGCATGCTGCGCACCTGCTGGCTCACTCAGCGACAACGCTAATAAAACGTGTTTGGCCCATTGCGACAATCCAGTAAAGTACATTGGCATGCGGGGTAATTGTTTGTAGGTCATGGAACTGATAGTGCGGTACGCAATAGCGTCATCCGACTATCCTCGCTGATTGGTATGTTGCGGACAGCCGCAAAGGATTTTTGACTGTTCCGAGTTTTGCGCGTACCTTCCCTTGCCGCTTGTGATCCCGCATAGGTTGCTTCATTGGCGTCATCGAGGGCAACCATGTACCTCACCCACGGACCATAGTCAAGAGATGTCGCCCCGTTGTTCATCAGGACGTCTTCGGGAATGTGAAGCTGCCGCAAGATGGCAACTATCTGCTTTGCATAATCCCGAGCAGAACTGACACAGCCTTGATGGTCTGCCGGCAGGTTGCACACGGATTGCAGGCTGTTTTCGTATTCCGAAAGTGCTTCTCGAACCATCAAGTCATCTTGGTGATAATAGCTTTGGTTCATGGGCAACGTTGCATCGGCGGTGAACGCATCCTCGCGGAGGATTGTATAGCCCAACTCATCGTCCGCTTCGTGTGAAGTGACGGCCATTGACTCCTGAGAAAACACAGTCAGGGACGAACGACCATAATCAGGAAACAACACACCGTGAGGACGGCTGCAAATCGTCGGCGCAAATAACAATCCACGAAGGAGGGGACGTCTTCACATTGTCCCAATTGCCGAAATATTGGTAGGTCTTCGTTTCCTTCACCGTCCTTGTCGCCTGAGCGGATAGAATTCTGACGAAACGAAAGAGGTCCAGGCTTCCTATCGGTGTCGCCGTCTGAACGGTTTTCACCCAATGAGCCAATAGCAATCTGCCTTGGTATCTGTCCGAATTGAAGGCTGAGCAGACCGCTCCTCAAGTCGGAGTTGCGAGTGAAAGGATGGGATGCTTCACCCTCGACGTCTCCACATGAGTGGTCATCCATGTTCCCAAGCAGCCGAGATATTACTGATCGTTTGAGGGGACGATTCTCAACCATAGATATGGATTGCAAATACGACGTTAGCAAAGGGGCTGGACACGGGGCAAATGTGAGAATCTCTTGCAAGGGGAGGTCATTAACGGGAACCAAGGCCAAGTCTGAAGATGTATTAGCATGCGTGTCAAACGGTGACAAAATCGGGGATCCTCACCATTACAAGTTAGCACGACAGGCCTCCGACAGTCCTTGATGATATTAATCAATGCTGGCCAGAAGTTCGCGTCACTCGCGTACAATATGTCCACTTCTTCGACGAGGATGATGGATTGTGAGACACAGGTGTGCTCCGAAAATGTTCCCACTTCAGAGCCGTCTACTGAGTCATTCCATTGGTTGCCGTCTGCACTAGCGCGTTCCATCTCGGAATCGACACGCTTTAGTCCACGGCGACCCGTTCTGTTGCGTTCTCGCACATTATTTGCAATCACCTCTGGAGTATCCGTGCTGTCATCCCCGATGTAGGGTGCTTTTTGCTGACGTCGCGTCTGCTTCACAAGATGATTCTTGCCCACCTCCCCGATAAGCTTGTTCAGTGCTGCTCCGCTCCGTTCCCCGATTCCAGGGTAGACCTCGAACACGTCCCAACCGAGTTCGTCCGCACACGCGTAAACGGCCGCGGTCTTACCGCAGCCACAGGGTCCACTGAGCAGGATAGTGTTGTGCACCAGATCGCCGAGCTGAGGCGTAGAATATGTGAAATCATGGATAGTGTCGGCATGTAGTTCGGTAGTTGGCACGTGGAGTTGGGATGGTACCTCATCATCAGCTTCTCCGGAGGCACGTTGCAAGCATGCAAACGTCCGCTGGCAGAACGTGAATTCGTCTTCGCTCTCGGCCTCTGAGCAGTCCGTCTCGGATGCACCGCCCGTAACCCAGACGGTCTCTGGCTCCTCTGAGCTCAGCCTCCGTCGCCTTTTGCGTTTGTCGACTTGACGTAGTATTCTGGGCCTTTTGATGCCTCGTGAGATGTTCTGGGCTCGTCCCTTCTTCCTAGTGCCTCGACCGGAGTCCGCGCTTCGTGCATCGGTGTCTCCGGTTGGGTTTGCGTCTATGTGCAACCTTAGCGCAAGTAACCATGCCCTCAAGTAGAGCGCACGATCCTCATTACCGAGGACCTCGTCGGCACGTCGAGGTCGCCACTTGTCTGTCCACAGCTCCTGCGGAGCACTTAATGGGTCTAGATTTCTGGTGTGTGGGTTCTGTAGAAGACGATGAATAGCTGGATATGTTCGATGTGCCAAAGGAATCTCATTCAGGATTTCCTCCGAGGAGCTGTTGTCTGATAGTGCCGTAACGTCTGTGAAGTGCGACGCAGAATGTGCATCACGAGTGTCGCCATCCATGTTCATAAATGCTCTTAAAGGTAGCATCTCCATTGAGCTGCCGATTTGCAAAATTGAACTTTGAGATTGTAATGAACGGGTGGTGGATTCATTAGATCGTCTGAGTGTCACTGTGATAAGTTGGGGAGGGCTATGCTCGAGGGAAAGAGGTCTGAGGCGAGGAGATCGGCGGCCAATTCGCAAAGGAGGCGCAGAGAAATTAGATTGCGGCCCTCGAACGTGTTGCGTGTCAGCCTCAGGGTACGGCACAGTGTCCACTTTGCGTTTGTGGCTCAAGGCGACAAGTGAGGTGGGAGCATCTGATACGCTCACGGTGGGAGAAGACATAGCCCTGCCTGCGCGAGCCGCAAAGATCGGGTATACAGGTCTGGATGTGACTCCTGTATCGTCAAAATGCTCAGTCGGACCCGAGTCGAGGACAATCGGAGTATCAAGACTTGTCCCTTCAAACACAGATGACACACTATCTTTCGACATGCGAGATCTCAGAGAGTGATATTGTTTTGGACGGAGGGACATTTTGGTTGTGTTGATCGTAGTATACGACTTGCCTGGCGTCATTTAGCATGAGCACCGCGCTATCAGGGTCGAGAGAATATACATTGCAGTCACACACCTTGCTCGGCTTTAGAGTTCTCCATGTTACGGCCAATCACAGATTCCGCATTCGTAGATACTGGACTGGATGGTTGCGGGGGGAGTTTGGCCGCTTCCGCCTGACTAGAAGTCTCAGTCTCGGCATCCTCTTCAGAGCCGTGGACTTCGGTGCTCAAATCCAGGGAATCAGTCTTATAGGAAGCATCCTTTACGGCAAATAGTTTGCGAAGTGACGTTTGGGTCATCTGCACAACGTGTCGCCCGGATTGTCAGTTGAACGTGTCCAAGACCGGGCTATAGTGGTGGAGACGGACCGCTTTCGCGTTCTTTGCCTTTCGCGGTGGTATCCGCTTCCTAGGTTCGGACATAGTTGTCAGTGGCGGTCTAGCGTAAACTGTGGCTGCGGGTGGTTGGACGCGAAGACGCGACGCGCTTGGGGCGCGTCCCACTGCTGCGTGGCTGATCACGTCCACGTTTAGATCGAGATCTACAGCCACCAGGCCGATACCCGGGCCCGTGGCGGCCAACTCCGATTTCACTCTTTTCCATGTTTTTGCTGCATGTCGACCTCAAGTCGCTCCTCGCCTATGGCTACCGCTCAAATCGATACGCTGAAGTTAATATCCAAGGAGTATCATGGTACCGTTTTGCTATGCGTCCAGAAGGCACTAACCTTGACAGGCAACTACAGATTTCAATGGTTCTCACTATGACATTTTACACCGCTCTTCCACACCCCTCGGGTTCTCCCGACTTGTCCATATCTCCAGACCTGTTTTGTTCAAAAGTGAGTGGACCGAATTGCATGCGCATGAGGCCTTTATGACGGCTTAAGCATGCGCTGATCGCCGATACTTTCAGGTTGTGTAGTTCCAGACGCAACGTCCCGCTGGACAAATGAGTATCTCGTCAACAGTATGGGAGAGCGGAGCATCTCTATTGCCGTTACGCCCAATGGGTAAGGCGGTTGCGTTTGTTGCTGATACCTCCACACCTCTTACGCCAGTACCCAAACTGCAGGCGAGCGGACGCAATAACTTGTGGCAAGGACGGCCGACTATACTTCGCCGAGCCACATGTGGAGAGCATGACGATGCGTACATTCTTGGACAAGTTATCTGCAGGTTAGGTGCGAGCGCTTGCCGATGCTCAGGCGTCGTATCTCAGCCTTTTTGCAACCGATGACTAGAACCGAAATTTTGCAAGACATCTGCAGGAGACAGCGAGGTCTATTATCTCCAGTCGCAGAACGGTAACCTGTTTGCCGCTCGTTATTTCGACCTCAGTGGCGAGCCGGATCCGTCAGTGTTTGAGCCTCTCCGTAGAGATGTGCCATCCGAGATATCATGGTGCACCGAAGCACTCGGTGTGTCGGCGGTTATGCATTTGTTTAACTTCCGACACCTTGTCTGATCTATCGATGAACAGGCCGTTCGCCAGAAGCGGTCAACTTATGGATAGGCAATAGTAGAAGTGTCACGAGCATGCACAGTGGTATGACAAAGGCCATTTCATTGTCAGCAGCGAAACTGATGCTCATCTCAGACCCCTATGAGAACATTTATTCGGTTGTTCGCGGGGCGAAGCACTTCACTCTCCTTCCTCCCACCGAAGCCTGGTGTGTGAAGGGTTAGTCTCGGAAAGTGCTTTGGTAGTAGTGACCATCTAAACGAATACATCACACAGAGCGCACCTACCCTCATGCAAGATTTCAGCGCTCGCAGGCTACGTCTCAGTTGGAGCTGGTTCCGTCTCCACCAAGAGCACCGTCGATCCGTTGGTCTTCTGTGCAAGACCCAACAAGCCCTGGCGCGCTCCCACCTGAAGCACATCCCATCCACATCACTGTGCGCGCAGGAGAAACACTATACCTTCCCGCTGGCTGGTGGCATTACGTGCGCCAGTCGGAGTTGACAATTGCCATCAACTACTGGTATGACATGGAGAGCCGTGGAATGTCATGGGTGTGGCATAATTTCCTCAGGGGCTCGGGAGATCCTCCTTCTGGTAATCAGGATGACAGATAGCAGAGGCACAGGTGCCCTTCTCGCTCCTTCTCGTTCGTGTGTTCGCGTGCCGGCAGAGGTATGCACGCGCGCTTTTTTGTCAGCTTCTTTATTCGTCTTGATGTTTTTGCGACTGGCTCGTATCCAATGACAATGAACGTGCGTACACCAAGTGGAGAATTGGCCTATTTTGCGGCCAGATTTGACCATCGCAAGCATAAGTCTCGCACCTGTCTGGACCATCGAAAAGGCCGCAGTAGAGCCGCTAAGGCCAGCACGCGCCCATGTTCACAAGAGACTAGGTACGGAAGTCACGATAGAGTGACCAATCGGTTTCAACGACTGTGCGAATAAGCGATGGGCGCTGATTAGCGGGAAACCCCCATTTGAATGTCAGCGCCCATCAATAGAACTTGAGAGCCGGCATTCGTCTCCCACCCTGCCTTCCAATTGAACCTTCGTGAACGTGATCGTTGCTGACGCTCATGCCTATCAATAAAAGCCATTTTAAATCCGCAGACGGTGATCCGGTCGATAAGGGAATGCATGATGAAGAGAAGTCGGTTGTCTCCTGGCACGAGGATGAGAAATTGAGAATTGCATACATACGGGCGTCAGATTTAAGTTGCCCGACCTCGGTTTAGTATCCCAATAAGACAATATTGCTCGCGCCCATTTCCAGGCATGTGCACGATCTCATATATCAGCAACAACGGCCGGCACGTACAGAATGCTTGGACCCAATCACGGCAGCCGATCCCACCGTTACTGGGCCGAGTTGCCCTTAGCATCTTTGATTGTTGAGTCACTCGCCGCTCCGTGAACTTCTCTCGCATCTGTTATCAAGCCCATCGACGCATGCCGCGGGAGGCCAGCATGTAAACAACTTGCTGCCGAAGCGAACCGTGACAGCATATGCGTATGCTTATGTGATGTAGAGTCAGGGTCGCAAAGTAGCTGCCGTGCGTTTCGCACAATCACCATGATGCAGCTGCGCTGTCGTATGGAATCACATTATACAGAGTGTAGAGACAAGTGCGGTAAAACAAGGCACTGAGTCTCCGATCAGAACGCTCGATTCTTCAACATTGTAATTTCACCACGGCGACGGAAGGAACGAAAATGTGATACACGGTGTTAAAGGGCAGTGGCTCAGGTCTTCCGTGCAAGCCTTGACGTATTCCTACAGCACGCCAGACCACAATTCTCTTGAAGCACCTGCCTATACGAGATGGTGCGATACTTTTCTGGAGCGTCAAGAAAAAATCATATCGGCTTAACGGTGCAACATTGTATTTACGAGGCCACCCCAATATTGTCGTCGATGTCGACGATCGACGCTGATCGGCCAGTACTACGCATATGCCGGGGCCACGCTTCGCGGACACGCGACAATTGACTGATACGTTCACGTGACCCCGATTTAAGCATCAGAGACTCCAGCGATCTCGTTGGTCCAAAACGTACAGGTCGCAGTTTCCAATACTCACCAGTGACCGTCTACATCTATGGCCAAGGACAAATCTGAGAAGAAAGAAAAGAAGAGGAAGGAAACAAAGGAAGTGACGGAGACAGTCATCGAGTCTGAACAAGTCGCAGAGGATGTCGAGATGGAAGATGTCGAAATCGTAAAGGTGGGTCCACATACCAAAGAACCGTCACGTTTGACGCATCGTACATACAGATTGAGAAGAAAGCAAAAAAGGAGAAGAAGGAGATTGTCATCCCTCTCGAAGACCTGTCGCCAATAGCTCACCCTCTGGCCCAGAAGAAGCTGCTGAAAAAGTTGCACAAGACTATCAAGAAAGGTAATCATTGTCGTATTGATAGCACATGGTTGCTGATTGGAGCCATCTCGTATTCTACATAGCATCCAAACAACGGCAAGTTAAGCGGGGTGTCAAGGAGGTCGTGAAGGGTATTCGAAAAGGAGAAAAAGGGTGAGCACGCACTGCAGTTGTCTGGCGTAGAGCTGAACCATCCTGCCTCAGACTACTTGTTCTAGCCGCTGATATCACGCCCATTGACATCATATCTCATTTGCCCGTCCTGAGTGAAGAGGCTGGGGTGCCATACGTGTTCGTGACGTCGAAGGAGGAACTCGGTCACGCCAGTGCGACGAAACGACCAACAAGTTGTGTCATGGTCTGTCCGAACTCCAAGAAGAAGACAAAACAAAAGGATGGCGAGGACAAGGAGGACAAGGAAGATGACTACAAGGAATTGTACGAGGAGTGTTGTAGGGAGGTTGGGGAGCTCGACCAGCAGATTGTGTTTTGACCGGCTGTTTTGCTTTGCTTTTGTTGGTTCTCTATTTCTGCTATCTCTGTATTACCGACGGTTTGCTGAACGTAATGCTGGTTCGGGTACACTTGTCATTCAACTGAGCGTGCAGCACGGCGACTCGGAGGTCGTACCAGCAGACTCCACGTCACGAGCGCCGTAAATAGATCGATCGACCAGCTTTCTCACAAACAACCTCATCAACTTCACTACCTTCAGCTCTTACGCTCTCTACTTAATGGCTCCCGGAAAATCCAAAACCACCACTGCTAACGGCTCCAACAAAAAGCTCAAATTCGCTACACCATCCGCCAACGAATCCACGCAGAATAGCGCTGCGAATCCGGCCGCTGTAGATACTTTCTCGTCAGACTTCGAATTCGCTGTCTATGGATCCGGAAAGCCTGACAAGGCAGTGTACGAGCGCGAACAGGAGCAGATCAAAGCTCAAATCGATGTTCTGCAAGCCAAAGTCGTATGTATTATACATGTGCGAAAGTCTTAGAGGCACTGAACTCATTTGCCACATGCAGTCGGTCGTTAAGGATAAGATTCATGTTGTCACAAAAGGTGGTCCTAATGACGAGAGACGAGCGAGCCTCAAAGCGGAATTGGAAACCATCCGCGGCCAGCAATCCTCCAACAAGGCGTCACGCACAAAGATCCGTGATGAACTCAAAGCCATTCATGATGATGTTCAGAAAAAGGTCCGCGTTCATTGCATCTATCTCGGTGTTCCAATCACTCAATGTTTGGTGATGTTAGATCAAGGACTTGAACGCAGCGAAAGCCAAGGCACCATACAAAACTGTCTCAGACGTCGATGATCGTATCAAGTAAGTCCTTCATCCGTTGTTTAGGACAGCTCATAACGCGATAAATGCAGCAACCTCGAGAAGCAGGTCGAGTCCGGTAACTTGAAGCTTGGTGATGAGAAGCGGGCATTGGCAGAGATTAGCCAGCTGAAACGCAGTCGCAGGGTTGTCGAGGGCTTCCAGGCAGATCAGGAGTCCATCGAGGCTGACCGTGCCAAGGCCGACGAGCTCCGCAAGGAACTTGACGATCCCGAGGCCAAGGCCATCTCTGAGCGTTATGATGCTATCAAGGCTGAGTTGGATGAGCTCAAGAAGGAAGGCGACGAAATCCACGCGAATCGTAACAAGCTCTTCGATGAGCGAAACGCGCTTCAGGCCCAGCTCGATACGTTATACAGCCACAAGCGCGAGTCGGCGCAGCGCTTTCGTGAGGCGAACGACAAGCACTGGACGAAGATGAACGAGGAGCGTGCGAGACGTGCGGAGTGGCTGCGGGAGAAGCGTGCAGCTGAGGAGGAGGATAAGAAGAAGGAGCTCGTCGAGCGTTTGCGTGAGGAAGCGTCGATACCTGCTTTCCAGACCCAAATCGAGGACTGTCAAACGCTCATTGACTACTTCTCGGGGAGAAACTCTACGCCCGTGCTGTCGACCCGCTTGTCATCCTCGGACAAGATCATCTTGTCAGGCGTCCCCGAGTTGGAGATTCGGAAGGTGGAGACTGGGCCTGCAGAGGGCATGGTTGCACGCAAGAAGAAGGGCGAAGAAGAGGAAGCTTACTTCGTCGGCAACCAGCGCAAGGGGCCCAAGGGGAAGAAGGGCAGTGCCAAGGCCAGCGCTTCCTCAGGGAGCAGCGGTGCCGAAGCCTTAGGGAGTCATGGTTTCCAGGCTCCGTTCCAAATCGTGACCGCTCTGCTTGACTTCTCGATATCACCACCTACATCGGAAGCTGACGTGCCTCGCGTCATCGAGGAACTGAAAGCGAAGAAGGCATGGTTCGAGTCCAATCAGGCTCGGGTAACCGCTGAGAACAAGGAGGCGACGGAGGCGAAGATTCGACAAATCACTGGCAAGAGTGAGCTGAAGAAGGCCGACATCCAACCACCATGCGAAGACTTGACGCCTCCTAACGGTGGCGGGGAGCTGCCAGCTGAACCAGCCTCCTCACCAGCTGTCACTCGCTTACCTTCAGTGGCGGTGCCAAGTGAGGATGTTGTTGAGAAGCTCGAAGTTGAGCAGAAGCACGATGGAGATGGGGATGGAGCACAGGAACAGTGATATTATTGCTTATACCGCGAGGAATATGATATCTTCTTGTTGTATACTGCTTGGACAGACTGAAAACCCCCATTACTCACACGACGTGACCGATGACCCAACAGTACCCAGCGTGCATACCTCTTCACCAGCAGTCCATAAGTTACATATTGCAGTGGTATGACAGGTGAGAGAGAGAAGGAGTAGTGTCAATTCGCCAAACAGACGGTCAGTACAGCAAGCAGGCAATGAGTCAACAATAATTAATGCAAGCCAGAGAGCATGACACCGGAGTAAATGATTAATAGGGCAGCGACGAGCGTAAGGTAGGGTCCCATGATTGTCACTAAGGCGGCAGAGGATAAAAGGAGTATCGGGACTAGACTGAAGTCTCCGTCTTCACAGGTTCCGGTGAGTTACCCGTTTCGCTGTTGGTCGAAGGGGGCGTTCCTGACGCGCTAGAAAGGCCGATCTCCTGCGGAGTGAATGCGGCTGTCTCGAACGCAGTCGAGCCAGACACATAGTCCTGGAAGGATAATGTCGCCGAATGAACGGACAGCGACTCATCATGAGCCGAAGTGGTGTCCATATATGACAATGACCCGAATGCGTCTGTTGCAAATGTAGACGTTGGATCGAGAGGTCCAGGGCCAGTACCAAAGGTATCTTGCTGGAGAACAGCCAGCATGCTCGACGTCGTCGGCGTTTGAGCCAATATAGAATGAGGAACCTCGAGAGGATGCCCGAAGTTCTCTTGACCAGCCATTGGAGAAAGAGTGAAGAACTGCTGCTGCATCACAGGTTCGACCGACGCTGCGACCGAATTGGTGGACAGAGCAACGTTTCGGAGAACATTGAGAGCAATCCAGTCACTATAAAGAGACATAAGTCACCGCAAAAGCCAGGATGTACTCGTATGCTTACTCCAAGAACAGTTTAAGTATCTGGAAAGCCCCAAATGCCGGATCGCTCCGGATAGTCTGTTGAAACAGCCTCTTTCAGTACGCACATTGTGTGCAAATAATTAGTGAACATACCAGATCTCTCATAACTTGGCTCGTTACATAGCCCCAGCGAATCAAGACACTCCTTGAGCTCATCGCGGCACGGTCATCGCCATTGCGCGGACCCATCAACCGTTCGCAGCATTTATCCGCCCAGGCCATGACATCTCGCACGGGATCGTTACTTTTCGTCAACCCATCGAGAAGCGAAACGAACTCGACCTCCAAAAGCTGTACAAGGTCCTCATGGCGACAGTTGCACACCAACGCGGATTGGTTGCGAACCGACTCGAAATCAATCTTCTGCCAAGATCGACGCATGTCACTGAGCTGCTTCGGATTGGTGAGTACGGTGCTTAATGCCTGTGTAACTTGATATATATCAAGGAATCGTACTGCCACGCACACGTCAGTAATCAAATGTCATGATATGAACAAGAATCTGCAACACGCACAGACAAGATGGCCAAACCGAGCTCCCAGCTCAACTTTCGGCTCTACAAACGTGTTACCATAACCCTCGAGTGCGACGAGCAAGATCTTCTCCATCTTGTCTGCGAGTTGACGAAGACCTCCCAGAGAGGCTGCTGGTATAGGCGACAACATCTGTGAGCGAAGAAGCTCAAGAATTTCCTGCGAAGCCAAACATCAGCACACGCAGCAGTATCAATGAGACAATGCCGTACATCGTAGACAATAGCGTCTGCCTTGGCCATCAAGCCCGCGACTGCAGGAGCATGAACCACCTCACGATGGCTACCGTTGAGGTTCGACCAGAAGGTACGGATATGAAGCTCAAATTGATCAAAGCGGTACGATCTGATACTCTCCAACAAGGCATCCAAATGATCTTGGAACCACCGCCACACTTCGCGGGCGGCGATGCTGTGAGGGGACGTCGAGGAGCCTCCCACAGCCTCCTCGATAGATGGGAAGTGATGCATCTGTCTCACAGAGATCGGAGCAGAAGGAGACATGAGAGCAATCGAACCGCCAATGTCCGTTGGGGATGGACTCGGGATTACAAGAGTCGCATCGGTCTGGCCAGGGTGGCGACGGATAGACGCTTGGGATGGGTATGTGCCAGCTTGTGGTCGCTGTTGCGCCAACGCAAGCAAACTACTTGCAGTCGGAGTCTTCTCGTCAGCAAACAGAGCTGCGTTCTTCGCGCTATTGCTCAAGTTCAATGAGTTGCGCTTCGACGCGTTCCCTGAGCTCGGCCCTTCAGATTCGTCCTCGTCCTCGTCATCGGATCCGCCCCTGTTCGATGCTTCCGCCTGTTCGCTGGCAAGACGTGCCGCGTTGACCGATTGCTGGGCCGCTGTGTTATTCGACTTCCGTATGTAATCCTGCAAAAACTCGGCCTCGGCGGATGTTGCAGGGCGTATGCCGCAATCTGCTCAGCGGCAATCAGAACCTGACACTATCATGATCGAGGTAGACGCACAATGGTATTTACTGTTTCCTCTGACGCCTAGACGTCTCGTTTTGATTGTGGGGAAGCACAGCCTGATGGCCTTCCCAAGAGTTGCGGTGTTGATATGCGGGATACCGTACTGCTCACAGACACGTCGGTAGGAGAAGTAGAGGCCTTGACGAGGAACATTCCCATCCGGATACGGAGAGTAGTTCGCGGTCAACCTAGTGGGGCGTATCAGAGACTGCAATGGCTAACTTGACAGCTGCGACACGTACCATGCCTGCACAAAGATCTGTTTCGCCCTATCGGAAGCACTCGTCGTCGTCGCAGCGCGGACGTTGGCCGCCAGCCTTTCCAGCGCATGATCGGGGCTAATGGACATCCGTCCGAACGCTCCAGCAGTGTGCATCGTCTCGGCACCCATGACTTGCTGGCCACCATACATCGAATGATAGTCGGCAGTGTTCGAGCCGAGGTACAGAGAGATGTCTTCGGTCTCGCTGGAAGATGAATGCACGCTCTCGCAATCCCGGGGGTATGGTGATGCAGCCACACGAGCCCGAATATGGGTGGGTCGGAGATGGGCCTTGAGAGAGGGGTTGGAGAGGTTGTGGTTAGGGGGAGAGTCGCCGGGGGTGATGAGGTCAGAGCCCAGAGAGTAGGCGGAAGAGTGGGAAGCGTCCGAGGTGTTGCGGACGTGATCGCCAGCAAACGAGTTGGTGGTATGGAAAGAAGCGCGGTATAGGTCTTCGGAGGTTGGCGGCATCACAGCCGATGTGCGCAAAAAGCCACCCTGGGAAGACTGGGGACGAGAGGCCGGCGAGTTCGCGGACGACGATGACGACACAGAGTTGGACCGCGAGTGAGGATGACTGGAGGATATGAGATCGAAGGGAACGTTTGCGGCCATGAGCTGGAGGTTCACCGCGGCCATGAGATAAGGAATGCTAAATGCAGCTGGAGGTAAAGACAGTGTAATGCAGCAGTACTGTTAGAAGACGAAAGCGGGCCAGCCGTGAAGTATGAAGGAGGGACAGAGGGGTATTAAAAGGTTTGCTCAGAGGCCGAGCAGGAGGACGATAGGGAGAGAAGTGATGGTGATTAGATGATATTGCGCCGCCCACCAGCGGCGGAAATGGAACGGATGGAAGATAGACGAGTGTCCAGCCCCCCGGAGATGGGAATGCTGGCAGTAAGAAATTGAAACAGGAGACTGCCCAACGGGGAGCAAAGTTCGGATCTGCGAGGAACAGGAGATGCACGCAGGCGTCGGTGGTCAAGGCAACTTGTCTTTCGCTCTTTTTGCCCGAACCACCACAACGCCCGGCGTCTCCCCGCGGCGGCTCTTCCCCCGGCCCGCGGCTTTGTGTTCCCAACTTCATCAGAAATGTCCTCTGAGAATGGATCCATCCGAAAAGAATACAATCCGCACGCCGCGTACACATCTCCGCTATCCTACACAATTCTCTCTACGCCTCCTCTCCTCCCATGTACATGAACCGTCTGAACCGCTTGCGCAGCTTCTTTTCCGTCACGTCTCCCAGCCGTCGCGCGAGGTCCGTCCACGACGGGATTGTCAGATCTGCCAAGCTATAAGGGGCATACTTCGACTTCGTGATGGTGGCGTTCCGAAGTGACTTCGGCAGGTGGCGCAGGGGTATAGGGTACAAGAACGTTCCTGTGTCGGCGACCCTGGGGGGATGCAGCACCGACACAGGATATGTGAGGTACTCCAGCTTGTATTTCGGCGCATGCTTCTTGTCTCCCGCCTCCAATTTGGACCTGGGAATATAGTACTGCGGACGGAGAACGTTGGCAACCAGTGATCGCAGAGTCGACTTAAGCGAGCCTCACCTGAGCGTAGCCCAGCGGCGACCAAAGAGTGTTGGTCCGAGAAGGCGAATCAGGGCTAGAGTGCCAAGGCTGCCACAGCCTACATGTCCGGCTCCAAGAGTCGCGCTCCTGGCACGCAGATGAATCCACAGCTTGTCTGTCCTCGCTACGAGCAGAATCACTTCCAGCCTCAATTGATGTCCCTGCTCGCCTGACATCAGCTGGGATATACGGGGTGCCCGTTATGTTATATGTGAATATTCGAAAAGAAGGCAGATATGGATTTGGCACCACGGATGGCGACACGTTCACCACCCCGTAGTCGTCGTAACTGATCTTGTGCGGTGTCTTGATGTCCTCAAAGACTCTCAGTAACGTCTTGTACAGGCCCTTGCGTCCTTCATCGTGAGGGTCCCCACGTGTGGGCGTGGAGTTGCGCTCCTCGCGTATACTCTCAGCATCGATGAAGAAGAACTGATGATAGTAAGACACAATCGATGTTAAGTGCTAATGAGAACCTACGTGATCAGCATTCATGTGCTAGATTCGATGTTAGACCCGATGTAGCATCTAAGAGACAAAGCGTTACTCACCCCATAAAGGTGGCCAACAATCGTATCCTGGTAGCGCAGAGCCACCTCTGCATAACGGACGTACTGTCACAATATGAGCTTTATTCAACTGAAGCAATTCTGATAGACCTACGCATTCAGGGAAGAAATTGTCTGCCGATGGCGGTACATGTCCGCTTAACCAAACCTAAGTAGAAGAATAGCAGACTCAGCCATGGAACCCGAATGCCATGGAATGGATGCGAACCTGTACGCCCCGTTTTCGGAAGATTTCCAGCTGCACCTGGAGCCAGTCGAACTGCAGGTTTCCGGGGTCTTCTGGATCGGTTGGATCACATCCTCCCACAGCTGGTTACCATGGTGATCGGTATTAGCTCAAGGCCAATCCTCACACGCGCTTAAAGGATTCTGAATACCCACCTCGATTCGAGTCATAGAAATACATCGTGTTGAGGCTGACGACTGCTAAGGAATTCGGTATCACTTCCACGGAGAAGTAGCCACCTCGCTGGAAGACTTGGAATGATTCGAATGGAACGAACGACCGCCAAATGCTGTACGAGATGACCACAAGATCCGGGAAACAGTCAACAAACGAGGCGATGCACGTAGAACAGATAGTTCGTACGATGAGAATTCAGATGTCACGCTGTTAGGGCCTAAAGGCTTCTGCTCCGTCAGTTCCCCTTGCAATTAGACTCAATGCCCCATACCTGGCAGCATAATGTTCTAACATCAGGAATAAGCTCTCACAGAATCAAGAAAGGCCAAGGATGCACTCACATGTGCTGTAGCACAATCAGAAGGATGCCGTCAGTTGCAATTTACGGAGCGACAGGTTTAATGTACATACGCCATACGTCATTGTTTCCTAGGAGAGGCGAGAACGAAGTTGAAGATAAGAAACATGCGCTACGTGGGTGTCAACGTACCAATGCTTGGGATCACCGGTATGCCCTTGCTCAAGAAGACTTCCTCCATCTTCTGAGCCATTATGCGGTTCAACATGTATATTTCATTTGTCGTCCGAGGGTTCTTCCGGTCATTATCGTGCCTTCCTTTAAATCAATACCAATACGAAGCACGATCTAATTCAGTCACACCTCGCACTGTCCCCCGTCCCTGCGAATTCTCTTAGTCATTCAATCAACAGGTGTCGAGGAATGTGATGTACTGACAAACCACAAAGTCAATGTCTGCGGACCACTCCTTTTCGAGATAGTCAAGAGTGTAGTTCGTAAGCGTGAGCGGCGAGTCACATCCACTGTCCTTCCATGTCAGCATCGCCCCTCGCTAACAGTGAACAACCATCTCAACGCGCACCTGTATGGCAAGCCATAGTATCCAGAGCGTGGCGTAGCCTTCTTCGGTTTCTTTCTGTGGCATGCGGACTTTTCAGAGGCATCCGGCTTGTAGTACGGATCTGGATGGATGTCCGTGATGTGAAGGAATCTGCCCTGGAGCTTGCGAGGACCTGAGTCAGCCGACGACCACGTCAAAATTCGTCCTCGCAGAGTAATGGAGCACTCACGATTCAACGCAACGCCCATGGGAACCTGCGATGGTGCAGCAATGGCATCCGGGGCAAAGCTCAGGAATAGCAAGAGCACAAGCTTCAGGTCGACCATGTCGTGCCAACAATCCTCGACGATGAGTGTGGTGGGGAGCAACAAAGGCAAGGTAGTTAATAGCCTCGGAGCTCAGGTCAGGCTAACAGGCGCATCGCAGAGAGTGCCAAATGGAGTCCTCGCACGTTCGTCGAGTTTGAACAGCAGTGGCTCTCAGCCTCTGAGAAGGCAGTTCTTAGTCCTATTCGGATATTGCCGACGTCAGCCTTCCAAGTTCCGGCCAAGCTCCTTCAACGCATCTATTGATCTCAGTACATCCGAATTCAAAGACTTTGGCGCAGGGTGCAGTGGCCCAGTATCTAGGACATCGAACGATATCTGCGCGATTGGAGATACAAAGGCAATGCATTGAACAATTTACAACATACAAAAACATCGTCTAATAATTATGCAGGTGGTGCTACAAATGCGTCAAAACTTCGGTCGCAACAAGGTCAACATAACGAACAACATGGCAGGAGCAAGAGACGACGACGGATTGACAATAGACTCCTCATAATTACTTAATCTTGATGGACCTAGTCGGCGGCGACGTGCCCATCTCCGCGGCCACGCAGTTCATTTCTTGCTTGTGCAGGTCGAGGAGGAAGGACACGTTATCGTTCTCGTCTAGGACTTTGCTGATGGACTTCTCCACCAGGTGGCAAGTCTGCGAGCGATGAGTCAGCCTGAGCCACGACAGACAGAGATGAGAGGCATCAAAGTGCTCTACGTACCCGACTATAGCCGCCACGTTCGATAGGCGATCTTGCCTTGGCAATAGTATTGTGAATGGTGTCATATGCATATCTCTTTCTGTACGACATAGAGCATCAGCGGCTGTCTTCCAACAATAATGACAAAGGTGACATACAGAATGCTCTCCAACTCAGCCCTTGACCGAGGCAGCAGGTATAGGTCGGAGCCACTGAGGTAACGTTTGAAGGCTTCATATGTGGCACAGCCGGAGATGAGGGTCTCGTCCAAGGAGGGATGCTCTGTGTCCCAGCTGAACCAGTTTTCACTGCGAAGAGAAAAGGCTGTCAAAAGCGGAGTGGCGTTAACGGAAGGGTAGACGTACGTGAGGTGTGAGTGCGCCATGGCCTCTGGACTATGCGGTGCGAGGAAGCGATCCATGGATGGGGTACTCAGTGGCCGTGTAAGCGAGGTGGACGAGGGAGGGAGGGGCTACAGTGATGTCCTTTGGGTCAAGGTATCGAACAGAAATTGGGGGAGGGAGGGGATGACGAAGCTCTATTTGTAGGGTGAAGGCCGAAACAGGTGACAGATATGACCGGAGGAATGGAGCTGGGGCAGATTTAACCTCTTGCGGGAGCGTGTGGGAGATGAACAAACGTGAGTGATTCGGAAAAGACCACAGATCGCGTACATATAAAGACGCGGCCACCAGTCATTTCCAGATCGCACGTGCGCGGCAAATCATAATGATTTCGGACATTCGCCGACGCTGTTCTCCTTGCGGCTGAGTCACGACGGCATTCATTCGGCTCATCCCTCTTCAAATTGCTTGCTGGCGGCCATCGCCACCGACCCCATCGTCCGAGGGCTACGTGGTGCGATCCATGCTTTTGTGTCATGGCCGTGTCAGCTCATTTCAGTCCAATGGGGGCTGTGGCAATCCGTGCCACATATCGCTAGATCGAACTATTCAAACTCTCTTTCGGTTCTGCGGTATCAGGAGAACCCTCGCTGTTGTCGCATACCTTATCTTGCGGCGAAACGGACCAGAAAGTCGGTTAAGCCAAGCTTCGTGAGGCAAAGTTCAAGCAATTGCTTTGCAACATACGGCGGCCTGTGAGAGGCAGCGTTGTAAGCTGCGGCGTTAACAGAGCCCGCGTAATGGAATGCTTCTAACCGCGCTCTAGGTACATCTGGTCAGCACTCCTCCTCATTGGGCGGACATTAACGTGCGTGTCGTGCTGCCTGCGTTCTATCGCGGAGATCCGAGCATCGCAAACATATTGCTCGGGTGGATCATTCTACAAGCTATGGATGCGCTCTACAATCCGCCCGCCCCTGACTTGTCTCGGACGTTCCAGTTCCTGAGACGTGTGAACGCCAAACACGGTCTAACCCTTTCTTCGTACTACGATCTCTACCAATGGTCCACAACCAACATCGACGACTTCTGGAGCGAGGTCTGGGATGACACTGGAGTCGTTGGGACCAAGGGAGAACATGTTGTCGACACTGTCGCCCTGCCTCCTGCGAGCCCTCCTTGGTTTAAAGAAGCCAGGCTCAATTGGGCTGAAAACATGCTCCGCTGTCGATCCCCGGACAAGACAGCGCTGATTGAAGCCAGTATGTGCCAGCATTTCCTTGATTGAAAGGCCACGGGAATGGACGTCTACTTCAGTTGAGCCTCACCCCGCCAACCCCAACCGTCCTCTTCGCCGGGTATCTTACGAGGAGCTCTATTCTCTCGTCGCCGATCTGGTTTCTGCATTCCTTTCTCTCGGCCTCGAAGCGGGAGATCGAGTTGCGTCGTACGCTTCCAATTGCATTGTAGGTGTTATGTCCGTGTAATCATGACATCAGCCCTCGTCGCTCCAAGGAGTGATTTCCGACATGCTGGTGTTGACTGCGCATCAATCATCGCGTGTGACGTGTCCGCTGCCGCCGGATCGCATGACGCATCGCAACGGCAAACATTGCATTGCACAGGTGAACTCAAGTAGCTCACTGGTTTCTTTCAGGAAAATGTAGCAGCTTGTCTTGCAGCTACTGCAATCGGTCGGTCCTTTTTTGCGAATTTCCCACTCGTAATTCTCAAAGTAAATGACTCCTTGAAGGTTGCATATGGGTCAGCGCTGCAGCTGATTTTGGTCCCGAAGGAGTTTTGGAGAGGTGTGATCAAACTATAACCATTCAAGACGCCGATTGACCTCCCATAACGTAGGTTTGAGCAGGTCCAGCCCAAAGTGGTCATCTCCGTGGATGGTGTCGTGTATGTTCGCTGTCATTGTCTTGTCATGGCCGTGCCTCATGACTCGCTGCTGTTAGCTATAACGCCAAAGTGCATGTGCACATACCGAAGCTGAAGACACTCCTATCTGGTCTCTCGGAGCGTGGACATATACCACAGAAGGTGGTCGTAATTCGTCATCTGCTGATGCCAAGCGAAGACGCAAAGTGGGACAGAACTTGGATGGATTTCAAAGACTTGGCTGCTGAGGGCGAGAAGGCGAAGTTGGGACGTACTCCTGAGGGCGAAATAAAATGGCAACGCTTGGACTTCAACTGGCCGCTTTGGATACTGTTCAGCTCTGGAACGACTGGTGAGTAGGTCGTCTGACAACTTTGAGCCACGTTCATGAATGATCGATCACGATATCAAGGTCGTCCCAAGTGCGTAACGACGCAATCTTTTGTGTAGAATCCGTTGACACTCCCGAGATAGGCCGATAGTACACCGGGCTGGTGGGATGTTGCTGCAAATGAAAAAGGAGCTCATCATATGTGCCGACATGCAGCCAGAGGATGTCTTTTTCTATTATACCACCACGTGTGTGCTCTTCTCATATGTTCTGGAACTGTGGTCTTGACGTACACGCTTACAGAGGATGGATGATGTGGAACTGGCTGGTAAGCGGGTTGAGCGTAGGCTGTACTTTGGTGCTGTACGACGGCAGCCCGTTGCGCGATCCTGCGTACCTCTGGCGACTCGTGGATGAACTCCGTATTACGATTTTTGGGACAAGCGCGAAGTACATTGATCAGCTGTCCGTGAGTTATCCTCAAATGCCCTTTGCCCGTCCTGTGAGGCGTGATTGCGAAACCTTCTCAGAAATCATACAAGCCTTCGGAGCACCACAAGCTTACTTCTCTACGCCATATCTATTCAACCGGCTCTCCACTCGCGCCGTCTTTATATGATTTCGTTTACGAACACATCAAGCGCGATGTGCTTCTCGGGTCTATTACAGGTACAAGCTCCAAAGACTTGTTCGTACTTCTTCACTTGCTGATAGGAGAGACATTAGGCGGGACAGACATATGCTCACTGTTCGCCGGGATGTGCACGGCGCTCCCGGTGTTCCGTGGAGAGGTTCAGTGTAGATTGTTAGGGATGGCCGTTGAGGTCTTCACGCCCGCAGGGACGCCAGCCAAGCCAGACGAGGCCGGAGAGTTGGTCTGTCTCAAACCATTTCCGTGCATGCCAGCGGGCTTCTGGCCCCTGCCAGGCTACGGCTCCGAGGAGGCTGTTCAAGCCGCCCAAGCACGATATCAACAGGCGTATTTCTCAGAATTCAAGGACGTGTGGTGTGCGTATAGCCCGCGCATTTCATCGATTTGACACTGAACTCGGCTGATCTGCAGTCCACGGCGACCATGTCATCCTCACGCGATCGAGGGCAGGAAATGGAGGAGGGCTGATAATGCTGGGCAGGAGCGATGGCGTTCTGTGCGTGTTCGCGGCGAGCTCTGGCCGTCATTCGTCATTCCAGGCTGACAATGCACGTTTATCGCAGCAATCCAGGAGGGATACGGTTTGGCTCAGCTGAGATCTACGACGTGATAGAGCTGTGTTTCTCCCCGTCGACATCGCATGCAGGCCACGCCATCGTCGACTGTCTTGTGGTCGGGCAGAGCATTGCCGACGGCACGGATGAGCGCGTGATTCTCTTTGTGAAGCTTCTAGAAGGGCAAACGCTCACCCCAGAGCTCGAGAAAAAGATCAAGGCCGAGGTGCGTTCTCGGCGAAGCGCGCGACATGTCCCCGCCCGGGTGAGTTTGATGCCCCTCCGCAACCCGTCGGGCCCTAACACGTTGCCCGCTTACATGCGAATGCTGTGCTGCCGACTCTAGATCATCCAAGTTCGCGATATTCCGTACACCGTGAACATGAAGCGTGTGGAGGTGCCAGTAAAGAAGGTATTGTTCAGCTCAATCCGTGTGTTCAACGTGTTGCGGGCGGCTGAGGCTGTCATCAGATCATCAATGGGGCGCCATTGTCTAGCGTCAATCCAGCTACCCTGAGAAACCCGGAGTGTCTGCCTGAATATGAGGCGGTGGGCAAGGCTTTGAGGGCCGAAATGAGAGGTGTGGAGTGAGAACGGAACTAAATCGGAGCTTGTAGCTATCTGTGTGTTATCTGCATTTCCGGTGGAACAATGTAATTTCCAACGTACTTAACTGCATGGAGAGCCAATGAGAATAAGTGCCGGGGAGCTATCTGCCGATATTTGGCATCGTTAGGCGGCAAATAACGCGACGCGTGTTCACGATCGTGTACACCGCAGTTCCAAATTTCCGTTTATGTCGTTCTCCCACAACAATCAATTGCCTCGAGGCAGCTTGAAATGGGCCGTATTGATCACACCTTGTCTTTCAGGCTTCCAGGGCCCGTGGCTGGGCAGGAAATTTGCCACAGACAGCGATAAAATTTAGCAATCAGGAAGATATGTAAACCATCCGAACACCGGAACTTCCCCCCCCCCCCCCTTCCGCTCTCCTTCCGGGCCCCCAAGGCTTTACCTTGCGCGACCCAGCTGTGGTCGCCGTTCTGCACAGGTCGACGTCGAACGAACGGGAACGCAGCTCACGCAACGAAACCGCGCGTTATCTGGCGTCATATCTTCACGCACACGCTGTTTTCATTGCTCTGACTCCCGACCCATTCCTTTGACACGATGAGCCCCCCGTATACGAAGGAGCAGTATGGCCGTGGCGCGCAAGCGCAATCGGCCAGACGACCATTCCTTGCCATCTTTCATTTTAAGCCTGCAATGCCGTCCGTGGTCAATGTAATCAGATTCTGCACTTTTGGTGAGTCATGGCACGAGCTGCACAGAAACCTCGCTCATGCTTCACAGTCGTGGTTCTGATGTGGACGGTGATCTGCCTGGCTGTTGCTGCACATTTCGATAGCATTCTTGTATCGTCCGAGCTGAGTGAGTGGTGTCATGTCTGCGGCGAGGAGCGCATGGCTAATGCACGTGCAGCGCACTTCGTTCCTTTTGCAATCTTTGTATGCTCTGCAAGTATTCTCATCACTCTGGCGCTGTAAGTACAACCCTTGCTGCGATAAGTCGGGTATTAAGGATCCCTTCAGGTTTGGATTTGGTCTTTGGAAAGAGCGGAGTCCCATCTCAACGAGAATTGAGTTGGCGTGTCTGGGATTCGCAGGAGTGCTCTGGCTAGGTATGTTTGCCGTATCCGATCGGTGGCGTCTCGTCTTGACGCCAGTTCTCGGACAGCCCTTTCCGCGTTTATTGCTACCTCCGATGCGGAGGACGCGGATGTGGAATGTTACTCATCAGCCGAATCTGACGAAGTCATATCGCTCCCTTCATGTGAGTGTGTCAATGATGTGGCCGTTTCACCCTGCTGACTCTCCGATAGTCAACACCGAGATCTATCAAGCGCAATACCGTGTCCTGGAGGCATTTTCTTTCTTCAATCTCATCCTTCGTAGGTACCCATTCCGCATTTCAGTGATATCATTTCTGAGAATGCGCACAGTTCTTGGTTTTTTCTTATTCTTATTGACCCTCGCTCTGCGGCAACACTATCTTGGCAAGAGAGAAGTCTGGATCACCCCGGTTACGGCCTACCCATGGTTTGGTGGCTCAAACAAGCAGCCGAAGTTACCGCTACCGGTAACCTCGAAGTTGCGTTCGCAATCAAGGCCAGCCATGCAGGAGAACAAACGCTCGGATTCCCAGCGCACTCTCGTTGGGAAGGCATCGGAACCCAAACGCGAATCTTGGCGAATCATCGACTTGATTCGTCCCCTGGCGAAGCGCGACAACACCCAGCACACGAAGGTGTATACTGGGGATCCCTACTCTTCGCGCATTCACCTGAATCGCAATGACTCGTCACGAACACAGGTCGATCCCTACTCTTCGCGCATTCACCTGAATCGCAATGACTCGTCACGAACACAGGTCGATCGCCAGGATTCCTCGCGTTCCAATGTATATCGGAAGGATTCCTCTCGCTCTCATATGGACAGACAAGACTCGTCGCGGACGGTGGTCAACCGACAGGACTCGTCGCGTACGCGGGTCTACCGACAAGATTCCTCACGTTCACAGGTGAACAGACAAGACTCCGGGCGCTCGCAGCCGCGCCGGCAGGAGTCACGCTCTCGAGGTCGCCTACCGCAGACGACAGCAGATGGACCGACGCGCAATGAGGCGCCGACGTACGTCTACTGGCACCCGCACAAAGCGCCGGACCAAGCGCATGTGCGGGATACTCGGCCGAGAGACAGATATCACAGGGACGCATCACCCCGGCGGTGATGTGCGATGATGCTACGACTAGATGGAGCATGCGAGCATGGCTCCGATGCTATTTAACGGCTGTATTATCACGGTGACGACTTGTAGCAGACATACGAACGATTGTACAACACCGCCAATGGATTGTGATTACACCAGTAAAGTCCTGCTGCCCTTACAGCGCCTTGCATAATTGCGTGAAACAGCGCGGAAAAAAACTTGTTTGTCCGGCCAAAACAATGTGACCGTTACAGGATAGGCGCGCCCATGTGGCCTCACAGCGCCGGCCACAGCGGCATGTCGAAATTTAGGACACCTGCACTGTTTGTCAACCTGAAAATGCATTGTATAAATCTACAATGAAGGTGGATGGACAATTAAACAGACTTCAGAATCTCTGCATTGCCCCATCAGCTTGGATTCAAGTCATCAACATACATCGAGAGTTTGGTCACAAGTCACGTTACATGAACTGGCAATCATATCTCAGCAATGCAGACTGTTGGGAATGCCCGGAGGGAGCAATCCGAGAGCACCCAGTGAAGTCGTTGTGGCTGGCGCCACATTACGTAATATTCCAAAAATGTACTTATATATAAAGTAATCCTAATTAGGGAGCTCGGCATATAAGCCCGAGCTCTCCTTGCCCCGCTCCATCATCCGCTCGCTCGTCCTCCCGGATTCTGGCGAACGCTACACAGACCATCGGTCCCCTAGTACGTGGAGTGTATACTCTGGTACCGGAGGACTTCAAGTGCAGAAGTTGACGAGTCATCGCTAGCATTACGATAGGGGAACGCGGTCGCTCAGGCCTCAGGCTCCTGGCGTCACTCACGCTCACTGTGGCCCCCACAGTGGGCGCCTATGCTGTAACGGTCACATTGTTTGGCCGGACAAACAAGTTTTTTTTCGCGGCTGTTTAACGCAATTATGCAAGGCGCTGTCGTCAGCAGGCTCCTTCCCATATCGCTTTCGGGAGTTTGGGGGGGCCCATCCTAGGGAGGCTACACAGTGCCACATCCTAGATCGATCATTCACGTGCTCGATCATGATGCGATCACTAACTTCGAACTCCTCACTCTTATTCCCCTCCAACTCCCTACAGCGGCTGGGAGAAAACATGTGTAAATAACGGAGGTCGGTGGCTTGCCTTCCCCAATTGGCAGTCAGCAAGGCCAGGAAATAGATTATTGATAGGTGCCTGTAATAAATTTCCGGCAACTCTAACATTCATTGATAACAGTGGTACAAGAGTCCTGCTATGGCAAGGCATCAATAAACGGCACTCAACAGCGCGATTCAATGCTGAGGATTTCCATGGCTATCTAGAACAGTGCAGATCATTGAGGGTGACACCATGATTGAGTCCGGAGCTGTGAGATGTGAGAGGCTCTCTTTTGCATTTTTAACTCCTGGTGTCACGTTTCTGATTGCAGCATTGAAGTTGTCATAGACAAACCTTACAAGGCATGCCTCTGCCGGTGTGCAAATATCAGAAGCACTCTCCTTTGAGGGTAGATGGGCTGAGCATATTTGCACAATGCAATAGATGTAATATTTGATTCCTGATTAGGTCGGTACAAAATCTAGCGCTCGGGGAGCACCAACTACTACTTTGGGGCAGCTTGCATCCGGCCTCCGTTATTTACACATGTTTTCTCCCAGCCGCTGTAGGGAGTTGGAGGGGAATAAGAGTGCGGAGTTTGACCTTGGCTGAGTCTGAAAATTGTGGCTGATATGTGGCTGAGGTGGCGGGATGAAGCACAATGTCCCACCCATAGGATGGGGCCCCCCAAACTCCCGAAAGCGAGATGGGGAGGAGCCTGTGTCGTCAGCGCATACAGTGGAGCAAGGCGTAACTTTACGAGCTACCGGTCTGGTGTTTCTCAGTCATGTGATGCGGTATGCCTTAGGTTGACGTCACGAAGCATGCTCGTCGCGCCCGAGACTCGTATGTAAGACATCAAGATATCTGCCTTTCCGGGCTCCACTTCTCCAGGTGCACTGCACGACCTCCACGACCCTCACGATTCGCCTTCAATTTTCATTTCCCTCTATACCCCGCCCTCGGCAGCGTCGACGGCCTCATACTCGTGTACTCTCTGACTGTCATCGTGCGTCCACTGAGTGGATCTGCCGCTAATCGGGCCTGACGGCCGCATTGTTAGATGACGCAACTCTTCAAAGAGATGCGCCTCTACGGCTTCAGTGCGCTGTGTCTATCACCCTTGTTCGAAGGCTCGAGATGCTGATAGAAATGATCTTGTTATAGTCGCGATCCTGCTGCTTTCGGCGACAGTGCTTGGCATCGCAGCATACCTCGGAAGCATTTTTCTGCCAAACATACAACGTTGGTGGCTCATGGGTTGCGTCCGCTCACTGACATACTCAACGGAACACGCATGCAGATGACTTTGGGATCTTTTCCCTTATTGTGCCATCACTGACAATACTTGTATTCCTAATAACGTGAGTGCAGTGCGAGCCGTATCAGCTCATTCTCCAGCGTTCATCCCTTGCCGTTCATCAGGGTATCATGGTCTTCACCACGCACCGAAGCCATTGCCTTCTTCATACTCGGTGCATCATGGCTAGGTGGGTGCACCGGGTGGTTCTGTATAGCATATATTGACGAAACAACACAGCCATGGGGGCATGGTCGACGTGTGTATCTTCATGTACTTGATCTTACTGAAGCTGACGCACACTAGCGACACCATAGGCTGGATCCAATGCGACGCGCTTGGTGGCGTCACAAGACCAACCAAGAATGGGGGAACCAGTGAGTTACCCAATACCTACATTTATTCCAAAATTCTGACTAGGAGTCCTTATCAGTCTCTGCTAGCTCATGGTGCTACGAGATGAAGGTCATTGAAGCATTCTCTTGGATGATCTTCTGCCTCTGTAGGTTTCATCTATCTTTTCCGCCCTGAAGTGTTTTTACAGAACCCGAAAGTCGCCATATACCTATGGGTTTTGATAGCACTGACAAGCCGCGCTCGCGTTTTGGGCCACCCATATGCGTGGGCGGAACCCATCTTCGAGCTGCCTTGGTTTGGCGAATTCCCTGGCTGGCCATACTCCGGTGGGGCCTTTGCTCCCGGACAGCAAACGGGCTTCTCCACAGGCGCATATATGCCGGTGCCTTACATGACTCCGATGATCAATGGGGGCTATGTTGTACAGCAAGCCCCAGGGCATTCAGTGATCGTTCAGCCTGGAGCACCGGGTGGTCCACCAGCAGTAACACAGGTTCCTGGCGCGGTGAGCACCACTCCCTAAAGATCTGGGGTCGAAAGCACAGCCGCCTCTACCACAGAGGGACGTGCTATTGTATCCGGGTGGGATCTGGAAGAAATGCGATACTAACCATTCTTGTGATGGTCCCCTTTGTTCAGTAATGTTACCAAATTTTCTCAACGTTGATGTTATGAAATACCCTTGGAAGGACGAAAAAACAAATGCTCGTTTCCTACTGCTACATAGATTTCAAACTGCATTTTCGAATCCGACGCTCGCGGAACGGAACCAAAGAATATCAGAGGAAACGTGGAGTTTCATGGAGCTATCATACAACGTGGATCAGACCGATGGAGCGGAAGAGAGAGGGAAAAGAGGAACTGCCGCTGTCATCCTCGACGGACTATGTATGTAACCTATGTATATGATTGTAATGCGACGTTCGATTGTGCACGACGTGTGAAAGCCTCGAGGCAAGGATAGTGCGTGAGAGCGATCACGAGGAGCCCCACCGAACAGCCGCCTCGTGTTGTTGCCGTCGAAATACCCTGATACGAGACTTATCCTTGGGCTTGACCTCAGATAGCGCGCTGCTCTAGATATGCAGCTCGGTAGGCAACTGCACCGGGAGCAGATAGTGCGGTCCATTACAGCAGGTGCGCAGTGCAGAGACACGGAATGGGATGTCAAGGATACTGAGAACTTCGCTCTGATAGTAGCTCTGGCAACCTTTTCAGCGCATGCCCTAACACGGCTGGTCCCTCGTTCCACGAGTCAGTCTCCTCTCCTGAGGCTGTGAATCCAAAAGCGCACGTTCTGATCATCTTAATTAGACACCTACAGCTTAATGCAGAGTGCTGTGGCTATGCTGATGTTGGCTTCCATGTCACTTCTGTGAATATTTCCATCCCCCTCTATTTCCGCACGTACGGAGAACTCACCATCGCATGGATGACCCCGATGTCTTCGCAGCGTCGTCACGCACCGCAGGCACAACGGGCCGCTCCTCACGCGGGCGCAGCAGGAGACGATGCTCGTCGTGGCATTCGGCATGGTCTGGTTCGGTGAGTACGTCCGATCGGCATGCGGGTGGCGAGCGGCGATTAGACACGAAATCCCTCTTGCAAAGGCCATGCGGTCCGGCGCGGGAAGGGGAAGGTGGGAGCCGGGGCTCACGAATGGGTGGAGGTCGTATCCTTGCGGGGGCGACGCGGTATCCTGCGTGGAGGAAGAGTGGATTTGGTACTGAGAGTCGGCATGAAGCATAGGCACGTTGCGCAGTGAGCCCGCTAACCAGAGGCCACGGAGGTTCTAGCAGGCTTACGGATATCTCATATGCAAAGGCGGGAGACCAGCTGCGGAGCTATATGATACATGACTTCAGCTATAATTTCATGCACGAATCGCATACAATCTAAAGTCATGATCAGCGGCATATCATATGAACTTTGTGTGCAAGATGAGCGCACGGACTTCGCGACATGGGCGATCATAACACCCTCCTCAATCAAGAGCCACATTTCGCGAGCTGAGAGCGTACCACTTTGAGAAAAGGTCAAATGAAGCGGCCGAGCCCGTGTATATCGCAAGAAAAACATTCTCGCTATGTGAAATGCATGGCTTCTCTGTCGGAAACATTGACGCAACACTTGCCGTTCTTAGCTGAATAATGATGGGACGGTGTGAGCCAGTGATAGGGCATCGAGATGGGCAAGCAGGAAAGCTTCGGGAATACAGAGCTCAGCGGCCAGCTGAAAACCGACGAAACATACACATTGGATGCCTCCGAAGCAGCAATAAAACAAAGTTTGAATCCGTAGAGAGCACTGCAGAGACCCCGAGGACTGCCGGTTTTGTACATTCCGTATTCGGTCCGGGTCCGGGCCCGGGCTATACTGGATTCAGGGTGCTCCCGAGAGTGATCGACTCCTCCCAGCGGTTACTACCAGTACCATCCAACGTCCTCCTCTCTTCGCCTCCGCTGTAGCTATCGCTCGCTCATCTTGCGCTCACCTCTTTCTCGCTTACTCCCATCCTTCGCACGTCAACGGACCCCTCTGTAGAGAAGGATCAACATGATGAGTGTCCTATAATTTAATGGTATGCTCTACATATCTTGATAGTCAATGTGGCATATCTACAGTGCCCCAAGCAAGCGTCGCATCGAAACCGATGTTATGAAGCTGTAAGTCTCCCGCCTCCACTCCTTGTTTTATCTCAGGGTGCCGACCGTGCTGATGGTTAGGCTGATGTCTGATTACGAGGTGAACCTCGTCAATGATAACATGCAGGAGTTCTACGTTCGCTTCTACGGTCCTGCAGAAAGTGAGCATAGTTCTCTTCATAAATGGTCGCCCACCGGCGTGCTGACTATGTGGCGACAGCACCTTTCGCAGGTGGCGTTTGGAAGATACATGTGGAGCTCCCTGACCAGTACCCATTCAAGTCTCCCAGTATCGGCTTCATGAACAAGATCTTCCACCCCAACATCGACGAGCTGTGCGTGCATGCTTGCCTCCCCGCTCTATTCTCGTCACCTGGACTGATAGCTCCGCGCGCCCGCAGGAGCGGCTCTGTGTGCCTGGACGTCATCAACCAGACTTGGTCACCTATGTTCGGTGAGCGCTCGCGCCTTACAGTTTTCACCTTCCCAGGGCAATTCATAGCCCATACTCATGCGGCCCGATAATGCAGACATGATCAACATATTCGAAGTTTTCCTTCCACAGCTCTTGCGCTACCCCAATCCGAGTGACCCGCTGAACGGTGAGGCAGCTGCACTGCTCATGCGCCACCCAAAGGAGTACGATGCCAAGGTCAAGGGTGCGTGTATATCTCTTCTTATCTCCCACGGCTATGACTGATATCTCGCGACTAGAATATGTGCAGCGCTTTGCGACGAAGGAGGCTGCGGACGCGGCAGCAGGCAAGGAAGAGGAGGATGAAGAGGACGATGAGATGAGCGAAGTCAGCAGCATAAGCGAGGAAGAGGCTACCGAGTCGTGACTCGTTGGTACGTTATCCGCTCGTACTAGTCACCTCTGCCTCCTTCCTGGCTTCCGCCTGTTGGAAAGTTGTTCCTCGCCTTTTCGGTTGCATTCTACTTATCACACGGACTTTTCATTCCTCCGCATCTCATTCCAGCTACGCTTGTGTTACACCCCTACGTCGTTCTCGCTCGGAGTAAATAGCTGTATGTAAATTCACTGTACCCAACTGTCTGGTAACCAAGTCTCAGGCATGATAGCTTTCGGCTCGTCGGGCCTGATGCATCGGAACAACGGAATGTGGTCGTTCTCAACGAGTATCCAGCAGGTAAGTGGGTCTGGATTGCAGTGAGGTAGTAGAAGGCATTAAGTATCGAAAGCCCGTTAATCCAAAGCAACGCGATCAACCCGGCACCGGTGTGTTTGCTGGGGTGTCTGTACTTTGCACGAGGTCTGCCACCTTCTTCTGCACCTCCGTAGCAGTCTGTACGTGAATTAAGTTCATGATACTGATGACGAAGAGAAAGTAGTTCCCACAGACCTTGATGAGAGTGTCGACCTGAGTTTTCACAGATTCCATTGTGGCGAGCTTGGCCTTGCTCTCCTTGAGCAGCTCCTCCTTCTCCTTCAGGATATCCTTCTGTTTCTGATCGAGCCTTTACAGATAGAGAGCTAAGCATGTAGCGGGCCAATTATGAGCAAGTATGGCGCACCTCTGTCTTTCCACGAGTTCGAAACTCAGCCGATTAAGCATCAGCTGATGTTCGTCCGCCAGCACACCCTCAGTCCTCGCCTCTTCTGGCGCAAGCTGAGTGAACTCCTCGATAGAGTACAATGGTATATCCTGGTAGATTGAGCTGCCAGTCCGCGCGGCGGTGTCAGATCGTGCGGGCAATTACTTGGATATAGGCCACTCACGCGAATTGGCGACACTTTTCTATCTCCCGCTCAAGATGTCGCTTCTCGTATAGCAAATTCTGCAGGCCAAGGTATGTCTGGTCCATCTCATGGCGGGCATCGGCGGTAACCTGCTTGCGCGCGCGGGTGGCACCATTGGCAGCACGGTTGACGGCCTTAAGATGGGCAAATAGGGCGCCAGCACGGATGTGGATGGCGGCGGGGTCCCAGTCGAGATACTGTGCGGAGACGAGGTCGCGGAGTTTGTCGATGGCAACGTCGGGGAGGGGTGGGAGGACGACGTCCGTGCTGCTGTCGTCGACGGCCATGGCGGCGGCGAGTTCGGCGAACGAGGGTGTGGGAAGAGAGGAACGGAGGCCGGACCGGGGCACGGGACGTGAAGTGGGGTGCATCATGTCCTTGTCATCATGGACGGCGATTCGAGGGAATTACTGTAAGCCTCGATTACACGCCTGCTGAACGAGCAGGCGCCTCTAGATCTCCCAAGCAACGACTGCTCGTCCTCTCACACTCCCCGTCTCTCTTTTCTTCTCCTTCCTTCTCGACATTCACCACCTCCCTAGACATCTTCGAATACTACCACCATGACTGGCCGTCCGCGCGCGATGTCGGGCACCATCCCTTCGATGGAGGCCGCCCACGACGAGCTCAAGGAGAATACCATCATCGTTGGTGCGTCTGATCGCACGTCGCCTCCCCGCGTTTTGTTGATGCGTCATACCTACCCATGTAGTCCTGGGCGCCTCTGGAGATCTTGCGAAGAAGAAGGTGAGTGATCGTCTGTTCTCTCGGGGGCGAGGCTGCGACCGTGATTTGTATGCCGCGGACTGTTTGCTTTGTCGTGGGCATGCTGCAATTGATCGACGCGGATCTTGGCCGTAGCTCGCACCCCCTGCTTAGGCGCGTTCCAACGAGGTGCAGTCTTGAAAAGATACACTCCTCGGCAATGCATGAGGGCCTCGGGGTTGATGTCCCCCGCAGCTACTCTACAGCACCTCGCGGGCCAGACGTGCTTTCGAGGATGGCAGGGGCGATGACTGATAAGCGCGATGGTACTGTTGAAGGCAATTTCGTACACGAACGTTTCCGACATTATACCAGCCCGCCCGCCAAGCCGGCCGTCCATTCGAACGCTTGCTTTTTAGTGTCTATGTGTCACAGGCTGCTGGATGGCGGGGCGATTTTAGCAGTATTCTAACTCACAAGTTAACAGACGTACCCTGCTCTCTTCGGTCTGTACCGGATGGGTTTCCTTCCTAAGGGAATCCAAATTGTCGGCTATGCACGCACCAAGATGGATGACGCCGAGTATCACAAGCGTGTCACATCATACATCAAGGTCGACGATGATGATGCTGATGGAAAGACAAAACTCGACGAATTCAAGAAGATAACCTCGTACATTTCAGGTGGCTACGAGGACTCGCCATCCTTCGAGAACCTCAACAGATACGTAGAGAATCTCGAGTCCGGATACCAAACCATGGAACGCAATCGCATTTTCTACCTTGCTCTTCCTCCCAGCGTCTTCATTCCAGTCGCACAACACCTCAAGGATCAGTGCTATTTCCCACCAAAGATCGGCAAATGCCGCATTATCGTCGAAAAGCCGTTTGGGAAAGACCTTGAGTCCTCCCGTGAGCTTCTTGGATCCTTGAAGCAACATTGGACAGAAGATGAAACCTTCCGGATTGACCACTACCTCGGGAAGGAAATGGTTAAGAATCTGCTCGTGCTTCGCTTTGCCAACATCGCATTCAGCTCCTTCTGGGACAAGAACTCGATCAGTAATGTCCAGATTACGTTCAAAGAACCATTCGGTACCGAAGGTCGTGGCGGATACTTCGATGAATTCGGAATCATTCGTGACATCCTCCAGAACCGTTTGCATATATTCACCGAATTTGTTTGAAAACGGCAAGCTAACGTCATCTTCGTACAGATTTATTGCAGGTGTTGAGCGTCCTGACCATGGAGCGACCCGTCTCGTTCGCGGCAGAGGATATCCGTGACGAGAAGGTGCATAGCCCATTTTCATCTGTAGTGTAGTGCTCGCTCTGCTCACCTCTCGGCACAGGTGAAAGTCTTACGTTCAATCCCGCCCATTGAGCGCAGTGATACCTTACTCGGCCAGTACGTCGCTGCGCACGGCAAGCCCGGCTACCTCGATGACGACACAGTTCCACACAACTCAGTCTGTCCCACGTATGCCGCGACCACGCTCTGGATCCACAACCCCCGGTGGGAGGGTGTGCCCTTCATCTTGAAGGCCGGCAAAGGTTGGAATGAGCTGACGTTCTGCTGGATGTGTCACTAATCAGGTCTCTACGCAGCACTCAACGAGGCAAAGGTAGAGATCCGGATACAGTTCAAGGACGTGACACAGGGTATCTTCAAGGACATCTCGCGTAACGAGCTCGTCATCCGCATTCAGCCTTCGGAGGCTGTATACTTGAAGTTAAACACGAAAACGCCTGGTCTTTACACCCGTGCGATCCCAACGGAGATGGATTTGACGTACAAGCGGCGTTTCGTGGAGGCCAAGATCCCGGAGGCATATGAGGCGCTGATTCTTGACGCACTCAAGGGTGACCACTCCAACTTCGTCCGAGATGATGAGCTGGACGTTGCCTGGAAGGTAGTTGTTCTCGAATGTAACTGAATGTACAGAGCTGACCTACATGTTGCTGCACACCAGATCTTCACCCCAATTCTTCACTGGATAGACGGCAAGAATGGGCCCTCGCCGAAGCCCGTTCCCTACCCATATGGCTCGCGCGGTCCGAAAGAGCTCGATGCGTTCATCGCGAAGTACGGTTACAAGCGGACTGTTGCGGAATAGTGAGTTCCGTCCATTGACGTTGTGTTGCATGCTCTTAACCTCGCCACCTTCTTGTTACTTCCGCTAATGCGCATATAGCGAGTGGCCGGTGACGAATCTAGCATCGTTGTGAAGTTTTACGTGTGCATGCCGAGTCTCGTTGTCATGTTAGCTGAGTCTTGAAGCTTGATGTCTTATTATCGGCGGATGCATTGACTGTTTGGATGTGGAGCGCGAGAAAGCAAAGAAGTTTGTGAAGAGTGGTAATTAGAATCTTGCTTGTATGTTGTGTAATTGAAACTGTATCACTGCCCAGAAGACATCTGCATTGCTTTGACTAGATCACCAAATGTTCACTTGTTCGAGATGCTCGACATTGTCGAGTCTCGACCGGCTGGACCTACGTAAATTTGCAGACCCGAAAAGCACAACGCTATCGTTGTTCGGTACCCTTCACCCACGTCGTGATCGGGAATCAAGCTGTGGCTCGACCTGTCCCCCTTAGACCGGTAGAAGGTTACCATTCAGCACATCTAGGCGAACGTGTCAGGTAACGCCAACGCTCTGCATTGCTCAAGCGTCATTCAGTTGCTGAGAAATTCCTTCCAGGGCTGTATCTGCCGGTATTGTATCCCATACTTATCAAAGCTCTGATGTTCTCTCCTATCTGCTGCGGCGTGCAGAGGTTGTCCTATCCTTTTGAAGGTTTCCCAGCCAGCACTCCACGTGCACGACACGCTAATCGGCTTCCGATTTCATGGTTAAGGACGACCTGTCTCGCACCCACCGGAGATGAAACAGCACATCGCCGAGCGCGTGGCGCTGGGGCACACACGCTGCTACTTACGGTGATAGATAGTCTGTCAAATCGCTACATACGTGCGTTTTGCCGGTTTGAGTGTTGAAGATGGGCACATGCACTCTTATACTACTCTGGAGCCCGCCGGAGACTATTGCTTTGGACTCAGTGATACGTTGTTCTTGTCTTCTCTGTCGCTTCTGCCGCGGTATCATGATGACAGCTTCATAAGGTTCGGCGCTTGTGGGCTAATTTATAGAGCTCAGTATCTTAGGGATAGAGACTTCTTCCACACCCTGCTGTCTTACGTTGTGACCAGACTAGGACTCGATATGTCGGCTGTCGCGGCATTACACGGATTGGATGCGGAGACGCTCAAACAGCAAGTGTCTCGTTTGTGCCCAATTCAGTCGCGACTAATGTTGATCCCATATCGACATGTAGCCTCATTTTCTCGCAATACCTATATCTTGCAGCTGCGGGTACGTGGCTCATGCATCTTGCCATTCTGTGTGGTATTGACCAGGGCTTCAGTATTTTGTTGCTACGACTATTGCTTGACGTTCCATCACGAGGTCCGATATGCTTGGTCTGCTAAGCTGTCTGGACTTACGGTGCTTTTCTACGTGCTTCGATACTGTTCGCTGTCCATCGTTCCCACAACGATATTGAAGTGCCTTCCGTGGATAACTCAGTCAGCAGCGGCCAGTGTGAGTTATTTTCATGCTCTTGTATCCTAGTTGAGCTGAACACCACGTAGAGGTACGTGCGCCAATCGCAAGTGGATCGGCTGAGTACAATGTATGTTGAACAGCTGCGCAATCATAGTGAAGGTAGAAATGGCTTTCAACACGACTGTCCTATGTGGTGCTGCATGTGAGACAGCTCTGTGTATCATGATAGTTTGTTCTAAAACCTATGAATGTCCTATAGACTTCGCCGCTCTGCGCGTTTATGCAATCTTCGATTATAGCAAGACACTTTTTTGGATTGCACTCGCTATAGGGCAGATCAACCCTGTATTCTGTCTTGTGAGCATAGCGGATCAATCAATGCAATCTGAAGACAGCTGACGCATCCTTTCCAGTACATTTTCCTTCATTCTGCACCCGACTACTTCCGACTACCTATACCATCTGGAGGTTGTGCAATAACCACATCTGTCAACAGCACGAGGTACGACTCTGCCTTGTCCATTTTGTTCTGATAGCTGAGCGATCTGTACAGATGTTTGTAGCTTTTATCCACAATTCAAACAGAGAAGATAGAGACTGATATATACTCCTGTAAAGTTATGATCGGCGGTAGGGCAACCGCATTGATCCTGGATGCCACCGTATTCCTCGCTACATGGCACAAGACCAGATCTATGAATGGTTCGTTGATTACTGTTGTCCTCAACAGAGATAGTAGGCCTCCTTTGCCCGTAATATCGTCCTCCTGAGGGGCTAATCTATGGCCTTTGCAGGCTGTCTGTACTTCGCGTGAGTGAAGGTCTGATTCTAGCGGTTCATCGGCCTCAACAGGTACTGCACAGTCTACTCTTTATCACGAACTTCGTCAGCCTGGCCATGCTCTGGCACACCTGGAAGGTGATTGCCTTTCTCTTCCACTCCATAGGCCAGCCTTCACCCTCACTGTGGCGTGATTATTCCCATCAGTATGTTGAGCCCGTATCGACCTGGATCGCCATGTACGTGCTCTTCCTTTTTACCACCATGGTCTATCATCGCTGTGCTAATACGCACGTAACGCTGCAGAATCACCGCAACGCTGACATCACACTTCATCCTCGACCTCCGCAAGGTGTCCCAGCGAAGCGATGCCGCAGTATTGGCAGAAGCGGAGCACATGCAGGCCTCTGAGTCGTTCCAGCTCCAAGCGACTGAGACGATCGTCTTTGCCACAGAAAGCGGGCAAAGCGTGAGCGACATGCAGCGGTCTGTGGTGTGAAAAATACCGGCCTGAAGCCATGATCTTCAAATTCTTCGCATGATCCAGCCCGCACGGTCTTTGCCCTTGCCTGTCACACCACAGTCCGTTGACCTGGTGTACGATACCCGTCTCACTTCTATCCTTCTTGTACTCCCCAGTCACAGATAGATAACTGCCAGGGGATTCCAGCCTAGGGGATTTCAGTGAGCGCCTGTACCGGCTTCGGACCTTTTTTGCTCATCTCGTTGGTTCTTGATGCATAATTGAATGCATGCGCCAATTGTTTTGCATCCAAGTTGCGCAAAAGAGCCAATCACAGACTGTTCACCGTAATATCGTTGTCCCCCCCTTTTTTGGCTGTCTGGAGAGGACAAAGCTGTATAGAGGCGTATACACTTAGATAATCAGGTCATAAATGTTGCCCTCTCGGGCGCATATATAATGCATCATCGGATTGCCACAAAGCGAGTGTAGCAGGATATGAACGTCGATGAAGCATGAACTTCACGTAGCTGCAGATGGACAGGGCAGCGAGGCACGGCCGCGGTACGAACGCCCTTGCTGCGAGGTTGAGACTCTCCAGGAAGACTGCTCGGCTCCCTGGGTATCAGACCCAGCAGACGAGCGCGCGTTTCAGCAAAGTCTTCCGACGTTCGCGCCAAAAAAAAGGTACCATAATAGCCGATGACTCGCTCGCATATTTCGCGCGGAAAGCGAGAGTTCTGAGCGGCCGATCGAAGCGGGCGACTCGCATATATTCATCACTGCAGAACTAGCAGAACTGGAAGACATCGCACTTAGCTGCTCGGTGGCCGGCATCAGTACGCGCTTGAGACGGTGCTTCGATTCTACTCACGAACAAAATCCACGTAATGCAGTGCGTGCCGAGCGCCGACCGCTTCTTCCCCGCAGCCTGAACGTTGAACGTCGAACGCCGAGCCCGAGTAATTGATGGACCGCACATCAACGTCCATTGCTTCTAGCGGCGGGCGTCATCGACCATGAGACAAGTACCGATACCGTTCAGCGCTGTACGCGGGCGGACGTCAGACAAAACGCACGAGTTCACAAACGATCAACAGAACATGCATCATCAATATCGTCTCAGCACGCAAAAACCTGTCAAAAGCCAACCATCACATGTGATCCAGAGAAGGATTAGCGTATGCATGTAAATACAAGAGATTCCAGTAACACCAGATAACATGACGATGACCGAGACGACCCAGCGGCCGCTCGAAACCACCACCGTGCGCTCTATCCGACCAAACAACCATGCGTACTAGTAACGTGCGACCCACCTACCCAACTCGCACTCTCATCCTCACGGCCCGCCCACCGCCGGACGCTCTCCAACACCCCCCACCGCCGCCTGCGCAACGAACACCGCAAGCAGCGCGCCCACAAACGCATACGGCCACGGTCCAACGCCCACGAGCATCGCGCGTATCAGCACACGACGCAGCCACCAGAGAACCACCTGCAGGCGGGACGCAGACGCATAAGAACGGGCCCTTAAGGGAGAATGGCCCGGTCAGGTTCGTCGGGTATGGGTTACAAAGGATGTGTCGCAGTGGGGAAAGGAGGGAGGACGAGGGGAGGGAAGAGCGTGGGGGTGAGAGGGCTCGCGACTCACCAGTTGCTCTGCAGCTGCTCGATCCAGTGCACGACGAGCCGTAGACGAAGGCGCGCTGAGCGGATCGGGAGGAGCTTCGCCTTTTCGTGCTCGTCGATCGGCAGGAGCTGTCCCGCTTGATTAGCTGGAAGCGCACTCGTACAGGGAGAAGAACTCACCGCGCCCATCCAGAAACTGAACGCCGCCGGGTCCTCCGGCATCGGCACGTACGCCGTATTCAGCTGGTGCACGACCCACGGCGTCCCCGCACGCAGCTCGTCCAGAAACGCATGGCACGTCGCCATCAAGTCCGCATTCGTCCGCGCCCTGGACCTCTCCCCGATGCCTCTCCCTCTCGCTCCTCCTCCCCCTTCCGCATCCCTTCCCCCACCTTCCGAAACCGCGTCCCCAGCCCCATCACTCGCACCTCCCGTCCCAGATCGTCCCTCGCCCGCTCCCCCATCCGCCTCTTCCTCTTCCCAATCATCCACCCGCTCCACCCTCGCCACCACATACCCATCCAGTGTTCCCCGTTCCACGATCCGAAACCGCCACGCACCCCACGTCTCCACCACGCTCCGCCCGTCCGGCAGCATCTGCACGTTCCGTATCTCCAACATCGTCCCGTACTCGTTCCCCGTCGACTGCGCCACCGGCGCGGGGTTGCCCGCCGCAGAGGGCAAATTTGCCGTCGACGTAGAGGCGGATGCGGCGGAGGCAGTAGATCGGGGTACGGCATAGGACGCAGCGGAGGGAGCCGCGCGCGGCGGTGGGATCATCCCGAAGCGCGGATTGGGCGTTGCGAGACACCGGCGGAGCATCAGACGGTACCTATGTGCGCCCGTATTCAGCCTCCGCGTGCACGCACAGGACATCGCGAACTTACCTGGGTTCAAAAAAGTGTAGCATCGTCGGCATGCCCGGGAAGCTCAGCTGACACACAAACACAGGCGTGTCGAGCCGTGCATCTCGCTCTTCCGCCTCAAGCGCTGCGCGCCGTTCCTCATACGCGCCCGGGAACGCCTTCAACACTGCGCACGCGCATATGGTCCGATCACGCCAAGCCCGCAAATATGAAACACGCCGTGAGAATGCACAAACCCATCCGGCGTAATTCAGCATAGGCACGACAAAAGATGATGGCCGACTCACGTATCGCGAGAACGACCCGGTTGCACGGGTGCTCCTGGAAGTAGGTATAATCTGGGAGAGCGGTGCGGCAGAGCGGGCACGCGCTGCTGTGGTCGAGCGCGCGGTGTAGACAGCTCGCGCAGAATGTCTGTGGGCGGACAGCAGAGAGGGAGTAGTTAGCATGGGAATCAATATGAATGTACGCGAGCGAAGGCGATTGAATACGTTGCCAGAAATAATGAAGTGTGGAATGAATGGAGAGATGGGCACCCACATGTTGGCACGGCGTCGTGACTGGCTGCAGAAGCAGCGCGAAGCAGATCTCGCACGTCAGCTCGGCAAGGAGCTCCTTCTCGAAACGCGCGGCAGGGTCGCGCTCGCGTTCCCGTTCGCGATCGGTGGGGCGCCGAGAAGCGGGTGGAGGCGGGTGGAGGCGGCGGCGGCGTTTACGCGGTCGAGGTGGAGAATAAGTTGGGGAGGGGGAGCGCGGTCGTGAGGTAGAGGGGCCTGCGACGCTGTGGGAGGGTTGGTCGGTGTTCGAGGATGATGCCTCGGGAGGGTCGTAGTAGAGACCCTCAGTTGGATCGTCCACTCGCTCGCCTTCGCTTTCACTCTCCGTATCCGATGCCTCGAAAGCGGGGACTCGCTCGTCTCCCTCTTCAAACCATGCCTGCGCGCGCTGGACGAGGCCGAGGAGCTTGTTCACGGTGATGTCGACATGGGCGTGGGCGAGGAGATCCGGGGCGTCGTCCTCGCGTTGGCTGTGGCGAAAATGGGCGGGAGGCGGGACGAGGGTGACGCCAGAGTCAGGATGGGGTGCGAGGGTGGTGGGCGCAGGCGCACCGGAGCAGGTGGGGAGGGGGCAGCGGGTGAGGGGGTCGCCGTGGAGATGTTCTGCGCAGACGGTGTGGCCGCAGCGGAGGGTGAGGGGCACGGAGAGGGGGCGGGAAGGGTGGCAGATGGGGCAGTGGAGGAGCGGGAGGACGGCGTCGGGCGTCGGCGAGGGCGGGGGGACCATGGAGCTCGGTGGTGCCGCTGTGGCGGGAGGGAGCGGGACGTGTGGAGGGGCGGGGGAGATGGGGGTTGGAGGAAGAGGGACAGTGTGTGGGCTGATGGGCGTGGGCGGGGGACGAGTCTCGCATGGAGAGCTGGGTGCCGACGGCGATGGGGAGGAGGACGGATGGCGTGAGGCGGCGGATCGCAGGCGTGCGCTGGGGCCGCTGCAAGAGCTGCCCGCTGTTGATCGTCGATGCCCCTCACGATCGGCGCGTTCCATCGCGGCCGGCACGTCCTCTGAGGGGGCGGCATCGTGCGGCTTACCCGGCGTGGCGCGCTGGCGGTTCATGCAGGCGCAAGAAAGAACGGCGACGAGATGGAGGGGAGGGGATCGGGCGTTGTACGCCATTTGAGAGTGGATCGCTCGCATGAACGCGGCTCGCTAACCCAGGCGCCGGATAACTGTTTACCCTGCGATCCTCCCACCACTGCCCCGGTTGGCCATTCCCTGCCCCGGTTGGCCATACGTCCTCTCCCTGCTCCATCCAGTCCGCTGCCCGCCTATCTCTAAATTTGATGCCCGCCCGTAATGACCATCTGCTTACGTCCCCCGCTTCTCCCGCGCCGCTCGTCACTGGCCACAAGGTCTTCACGCCGCCCTCCGCAGCCAATGGGCGTCGCAGCACAAAGTCCGTACGTAAGCTGGCATCACCATCGCCCCTCGGCGCTCGATCCCAAACGACTAACGCCACATCTGGCTCTCTGCATACAGCATGGAGCATCGACCGTGGTGTGCGTCCTCTCTCGCGACTCCCATGCCAGCGCGTCATACCTCGCACTGAGACGCGGCCGCAACTCCGCCCATCGGACGCCTTCACGCACGCGGATCCTAACCCAAAGTCGTGACAAGACCCCGCTCATCGGCTCAGGGACACCATCGCGCGCGCATATCAGCTTCCAGATTGCCTTGATTTCGTTGACAACACCGATTAGGACGTGTATGGCACTCGACCCTCCCTCCCCGCTCACTCAAAAAGTTACCGTGATTTCGGGGACGCGCCCAAAGGCAGGAACGCTGCCCGATTCAGGTGTGTGACATCCTGCACGTCACTCGCCCTGCGTCATTGCAATTTGCGCCGCTGGTAACCACGGATCTCGAGGCTACATTTCTGGCTCGTTCGCGGTCCGGTGCTCAGTGCCCAGGGACACGAATCTCCACGCCGGTGCGGCGCGCTCCCGCCAGTTCGGGAACAGTGGTTCGCGCCGTGGAGACCGCAAATTAACGATGATACCAGTGCGACACTCGGACACCGCGGAGCTGCACTGCATTATATTCATGCATCCAGAACTTATTTCGAAACTTTAATTTTTTGGTGTTAGTCCACCCGGTACTATGTGACCCTGCACCTCTGCATTACGGATCCGATCCGCGCCTTGAAGCCTCCTAGTCCTACACCCGATTATCATCCTCTTTCTCAATCGGATCTCCAAGGCAAAATTTCAAGTACTGCAGCTCTATCCCGCATCAAATCTTCGATACAGAGAGCGCCCCATCATCGGCCCTCTTTCCCCACCGCTCTCCAGTGCAGCAGATATTCGAGCTCCAAGCATCATCGTGCATTTCCACCCCTTCACAGGATGGGGTCGACGCTAGTCTTGCTGGAAGGTAAGGTCAACGCGGCCTCACGGTAGCGGAGTCGACGCAAACGCTGCAGCCTCCGCGGACATACGGTATGTGTCCAAAAGTAATATTCCCCGCTGCTGCTCGATTTGATGCCCGGGTGGCACGAATGCATCACGGCAGGCCGCTTGCCCCGCGACGCCTCGTGTGGAACAGGTCATGCCGCGGTGCCGGCTCACGTCCCTGAAAGTTGGGCCATTTCACTTGTGAGGATCGCGTTGCCTTTTTTTCCTTTTCACCGCGATCCCGGCCGGCAGACATCGTTGGCACGCGCAGATGCTGTTCCTTCTCCGGCATCCGATATACATGCGTATCAAAGAGTGCTCGGCTGTGGTGCGCTCCCCCCTCCCCCCCTCTGTGAACGCCCTTCGCGGACCAGCGAGCACGACGTATACCGTAACATCCCGGGCAACATGGACGACGCGTGCCTACGCACATTTCGAGGGAAAAGTGTGCACGCGGTCACGCCTTTGAAATGCTGCTCTCGCTTGCCATAACGAATGCTGTGACGAGACTGGCGCAGGATTCTCCAGGAGTCTCCGCAGGCACGCTAATGTCGCTTTTTCCTCAGCGTGGATACTCTAATACCAAATATTAGTGTAAGAGATATGGCATTCACCCCCGGACATTTTCCTCTACAAGTGGCTGGCGCCGTCAATCAAGGTGCGGACGAATCTCTCTACGTCAACGCCTTTCCCCCGTCTGCGACGCGCGGAAAGGCGCGTATGCCGTGTCTTTCGGACTTCTGTGGATCTCTAAATGCGGCTGTTCGTGCGGCAGATGCGCTTGCTCTGTGCTGCTACGGCATTTTGTGTCTGGAACATCGCGTTGTGCGCGTGCACACAGGCTGCTCGTGCTTGCCTTTCGTGCAGCGGCGGGGTTGTTGTGCGGGGAGATAGCGTTGCTCCGTGTTCGCTATCTGTCTCTGGGACGGGAGTTTACAGCGGGACACGGAATCAGCTTCGAGTCAGCGCAAAGCTATGGCTCGTCTGCTGGCTGGGTTGTAGATGTACCTGTCGACGTCCGCAGAATATATTTTTGGTGACCTCAAATCCCTTGTGTCTGATGGCCCTCATGGTTTTCAATCCACGGTTTGTATTGAGAGAATCCATCGTCCGACGGGCTGTTACGTCGTCTCCCCATAAATATAGCATGCCATCACGACATTATCTATCTGAGACTTCTGGCAAAATATGTGCGACGCACCATCGCGGTCTGATTCCGACGCTCAGCGAATGCGCACGAATCCCTCTTGCAAGTCTGGACGGTCTGACTAGTTATACACATTATAACTACAATTCTCGTACACGATCCTACTCAGCAAATAAAACCACATCTCTCCGCACACGAAACTTGATCGACATCCTCCACCACCACGTCTTTCTCATCGTTCTTTTCATCCTCCCCCCTTTCTTCCCCCGCGAACCGCATCGTCAGGAAGTCCTCGACGACACGCATGAACTCCTCGCGCTCCTCCCAGTGCGCCATGTGCGCGCTCCGTGCGAACGTGCGCCACTTCACCTTGTCGATCGCCGCGAAGAACGGCTCGATGACGATGTCCTGCGCCTCGTCCAAGCCGCCGTTCGTGAGCAGCGTGGGGACGGAGATCTTGGGAAGCGAGGGGATGATGTTCCACGTCTTCAACGTGCCGGTTATCGTGAACTCGGAAGGGCCCTCCCTGCATGCGCCAGACTTACAGTTAGTCGCGCGGTTCGCGAGATAGGAGTGTCCAGACGTACATAGTCCCATAGACAGTTGGGTCTTCCTCGAGCTGCTTGAACGTCTCCTGTACCTCGGCTGGGATGGGATCCAGCCGACAAACGAACCGCTTGTTGAACTCCTCCATCGCTGCTTTGTATTCAGGCGACCCGAACGTCCCCGCACTCTCGTGTTTATAGATAGTTTCCTGTGAACGCACATCAGCGTCATTTCATGCACAAGCAGCACAGACGCACCTGGACATCCTCCGGCAGCTGCCTCAAAATATTCCTCGTCGCCTGCACCCACAGATCCATCGACGCCGGGCCCGACGACAACACAAGCCTCCTCAGCCCGCCCGGCTTTCGCACCGCAATCTCCGCCGCAAGCATCGCGCCCCACGAATGCCCCAACACATCATACTCCTCGATCTTCAAGTGTTCCAGCAGATTATGAAACTCGTCCACGAACAGCTGCACGCTCCAGAACGCGCCGTCGCCCGCCTTCTCCTGGAGGCGCGTGGACTGCCCGCAGCCGAGCTGGTCATAGAGGACGACGGGGACCGCACGCGCGAGGTCCGCGAGCGCGAGCATGTAGCTGTGCGTCGCGCCCGGCCCGCCGTGCAGCACGACGAGCGGGGGCGCGCCCGCGCGGAGGTCGCCGAAGATCTTGTAGAACGTGCGGCATGTCTTGTGTGCCGCGGGTACGGCGAAGTACACGAGGCCCTCGGTTACCGGCGCAGTGGACATCTTGAGCGCAGGGGTGCGGAATCCGAACAGTGCGAGCGAGAGTGTCGGATGGAGACTGTTTATCACGGTCAGCAGCAGCATAGGATCAGGGGGGACCTGGGCCCGTCGGTCTCTGCTGCGAGCATATCCGCCAGTGGCCACCCGTGGACCTTCTCATCGCTGGGACTTTGCTGCTAAAGAGCTACGTATATACTGCTAGCGATGGATACGCCCGACTCGCGCAGTGGTAGCGCGCGCCGCGCACCTTCAATGCGATCGAAATACAGCCTGGATCGATCGTCCATCTCATCGTGTCCATGAAAAGCACAATGAAGTTTCACGCGCAAGAGATTAAATTGCTTCTAGCATGCATACATGAAGGTCGAGAGGACTACAGTGTACTAGCAGAATCTCAGCGCCAAGCATTTCGCTTGAAGGCGATCCGCTCAACAACCATGTATCAAAGTATTGAAATGGTTTCCCTCTTCGTTCGGAGGAATAGCACAATAAATTTATTCAGAGGAGTCGACAAAAGCACGTACGTGTACATACAAGTTTATATAGATCGCAAACACTACGGTATGCAGGATCCCAGGCCTCGGGCCCCAGTGCTCAGCTGGCAGAGAACTCGATTGTGATAGAGATGACTGCCCTCGAGACCCTGACAGATCAGATTCAGCTGATAAGGACAAGGTATCGCATTGTATTTACATGCCATTTCGCAGTTGGACTTCCGACAAATATATTGACGATGTGCAAATAACAGATTAAAACAGAAATGACGGACTTTGTCACCGCCGGCCCGTGAAGCAGGTAACCGTACACGTCCTTACCAATTACACTCAAAAAGACTCGCCGTAGCACTATGATAATGGAAATGAAAGTTTGGCCGGATGCTGTTGAGAAGATGTCCGAGACGCAGTAACGTGGGACGCACGTTTCCATCAACTTGACCGTTAGATTCTGGACGTCAAATATCGCCTCCGCACGACAGACCATTAGTGAAATCCCTCGACTTCAAGGTTTGTCGAGGGGCGACGCACCGAAAATATGAACATCACAGTATTCTCCCTTCGGTAGTCAAGGCAAGATGTACTGAAGAACGTGAGCCCACAAGAGCATCAGTAAGACATGAACATTCCTACATGCTTGGGTCTCGACCAATGAACACTGAGACCGTCAGCTTTGAACGCGAAGATGGAGTTTCGGAGTGCTATGACCATTAGGCGGCCGATATAGGAGTAAATTCGATGCCGAAACAGTTTGGGCATGGAAAAGCTCAGAAGAATGTGGAACAGGGACCGCTCGTGTTTATTTTGATCGGTTGCCCTCAACCATTAGATGAGTGCGAAATATGGAGACTGCTCAATAAATTGTCTCTAGGGAATAGTAAAATAATACTTTGTCATGGAAAGCCAAAGCTCAGGCTCTGTAAAGAGATAATTAATTACCGCGTACCATGGGATGCGCGAGAGACTCACAGGTCCTCCAAAGTTGGGATATACTCTGTTCAGCGTGTTTTGATCAAATACTTCTAAAAAAAAACTCAAACGCAAAACGGGCGGCGGGTGGACGGGCCGCCGGTTGTTTCGGACGCCGTTGAGAATTATGCCAGCGCCTGTCATTTGCTTGTTCAGCGGCGATACGGTATACGCCGGCCTGCGGCCCTTTTGCCACTCTTCAAGCTCAGCATGGAGGGTCATGTCAACGACACTTCCAGCGAGGAAAGGTACGGAACTGCTCATGGGCAGGGAGCCCCGACTGGCTTGCTCGAGCGACATATGACAAGAGGCGCTTGGCATGAGCCAATTGTTTTCTAGGGTGACAATCGTTAAGCGCCGACCTATAGGCCTGTCCACTAAGTTCCGTTGCCAACCGAAAATGCCTGGCTTGTTGTTGAAGTCCGTCTTGAGATTGAAATGGGAGTGGTCACTGATAAACGAGTTTTATCAATAAGCAAGGTGAGAAGTTTTTTCGTCGAAGCGGCAGGACCATGGGCGACAAACACAACGAAAAGATAAAAATTTGGCCGCGTATATATCGCCTGCATCGGTGTTGGAGTAGCACCGAACTGTGCGAGAAGCCTAACAGGCTTGTCAATTGCCCTGCCGAATACAGAAATGCGAAAGCGGGCATGGATGAGGAGACAGAAACAACATGAAGCAACCGATTGAATGCGCAAGTGGACGGCATAAATATACGGTCCATTGGTGTCGGCGTGGAACCCTGGGCGCTACACGGCTGAAATGATGCGTCCGCCGCATCGCCCGATTGAGCCGCGCGCGAGGGGCGCTTCATGTTGACTCCTGAAAATTTTGAGTTGAGGAGGATTTTGTGAATGCATCTGACAGCGAGCCAGGCAGCCGGCTCTTGGGGCCGGTCCATGTCCTGCAGTTTCTTGAGCCGGTGAAAAATTTGACATGTTTGTCCCGTATACGCATCCACCGATGCATCGGGGCAGATTGAAGATACATCTGACAGGACTATGGCGATGTTAAACAGGATGGGGACGAAGTCGGCGACATATGGGATCTACGTGCACACCGCGCTCCTGCACTCCTGAAAAATCGAGAAGAACTCCAGAACTGAAGCAATGCCTTTTCATAGGTATGACGAGCGAGCCCCTGAAGCCTCGAGAACGGAGTCGATCATCTATCATCTGCGATCAATGCTGGGCACTAGTAGGTCCCGCATGTCGGATCTCGGATGCTTTCATCACGGAGAAAACCACAGCAGACCCCCTACTCTAGGCTCCGTGGATGGCTGTTACGTCGAGGGACAACGGCGTAACAAGCGACAACATCCAGCCAGACTGCTGAGTGGCGTGACAGTGTAGCAGATACTTCCTGCCTTGATGACGGCTCTTCATCACCTATATTGGACAGGAGGAACTGCAGCTCATCCTTTGGTCGTGCATCCTGACGTGCAGATGCTATGCCTGGGACCCGGTCGGATGAGACGAATACCGACGTAGCGAAGCAGAATGGGGCATATAAATTACGAAATCGAACGATCCACATATAGAGACCGGCATCAATCGACATCGCTCAACTCGCAAGAGTCAGAGCATGCCGGAGAAGGCGGAGACGAGGGTACGGTTCGAGAAGAACTGGTGGCAATACGAGAAGATGGCTTGGCATCGGATGATGGGCTTGCCTTCTTCCGTCTCTTCCGTTCGTGCTCGCGCGAGTTCAAGCGCACCCCGAAGAGCGAAATGTACTGTTGTCGATCTGAGCGACACGAAATCCACTAGGATGAGCGAGACATACCTTTGTCAACTCAGTCGACGGAGGTAGTCCCGGAAAGTCTTTCGTCGAGTAGACTTTGAAGCATCCCCCGTAGCATTCTGCGAGAACGGGTAACATGCTCATGTCTGCGGGTACCGAAAGCACGTTGAAGACCCGGTAACGCAGTATGAATGTACCTGTCATTCGTACCGCCAGGTCCTGTACGTCGATAACCAGGCAAGTACGTGTCGCAGTCAGTCAGAGCTCATGTGCAGACTGACTTAAGACACACCGAGTAAACGAATATCAGCGTGCTCGAACCTTTGTAGTCAATGCACGATGGGGATACGAATTTTGCGCCTGCGAGGGTCGGTGTGCAGGAAGAACATTCTGTGATGGTGTGTTGGCCTAGATGAGCAACAACGTCGGTGTGTGCAAGGGTCGCAGTGGCTGGGGTGCTGTCCCGTTTCAGCGAATTCTTCGAACCAGCGGGTGCCGTGGCGGCCCCTCGAGGACGTGAGGCCGGCTTTCGAGGCGCGTGCGATGGCCCGGACCCCCATTCGGATGTGAATCGGGTTACGGCTCTGTGCGGGCAAAGACGTTGATTTGAAGGCGACATTACAGGAATGACGCGTTGTATTTCAGCTGTCGAAGTTCCCGACTTGGTCGAGGCACCCAAGGACTCGGTCTGCGCGCTCTGAACGTAATATTCTTCCGGTATCGGGAATAGATCTGCTTGACAGACGAAGCCATGACATTTTGTCTCTCTGGAGAATTGAGTACGTAGGCTCCCGACGACGTCACTCGAAATGCGGAAGGCTCACAAGTCGCCACGGATCTCCTGCTCTCTCCGTCTATATGCGTCTACTTCATTCACTTCGAACAGCCTCAACCGTACGACAGGTGGTGGATCGAGCGTTCTCTTATCCTTCCAGGCAAATCTGTCACACGCGAAGTAAGACGCGGCTTTGGCATCTAGTGATTGTGTACTCACCTGCGGCCCAAGTTCGCCTTCTGTAATTCGTCCAACTCCGCGCGAAGAGCGATACCGGCCATTGGACCTGTCGAGAAGCGGACTGGCCTGCCGATGGGCGGTGAACTGTCGCTGACAATTTGCTATAGTCACGTTCAGCCCAGCGCGAGATATAGACGAGCTCCGTGCGAGGGTCAACTCACAGGACTAGCCGGGGACGTCTGGGCCTGTCCGTTGCTCATTTTCGTGCTGAGAGGAGAGCTTCCGATGGTCGAGCCAGACGGTCGACGCGTAGAACAGGAGATTTTGCCGTTATTCAAGGTTGGAAAAGACGTGAATGGGCGTGTAAACGCCACGAGGACTTTGTACGGCTATTCCCCAGAAGGATGATACCAACAGCCAGCTGGGGAACCTAGACAAAGAAGTGCGGTCTGCGGCAGTGCGCAGCGGCGAGACTATCCGAGAAATCAGCTGAAGATTGCTGAGTCAATAGATACGGGAGGGAATGCATGTCGGATGAACCAGAACACGAGAACGTATGGACGGCGCCGGCTGGACGCGTCCTGACTGGCGAGAGCGCACTCATTTAGCCCACATCTCGCCTGCCCATTGGCCTGCCGCATCGCAAACCCGTTACCACCTTGCCAAATTACATCAGAAATGTTTTACCGTTTCCAATTGAGCCCGTCGTCCAAGACTCTAACAGAACAGACTCGCCCCGAAGACGGCATGTTTCCGGCTGTGCGACCCACCAAACTCCTGGATTAATCCTCTGATTCTGCGCAGTGCTTGCATCAGGCTATGACTAACAGCACTACAGCACGAAAATAACGATCATTCAACCGCTGTTGAAATACGGCTCTGCGCGACATGTTGCCGCTAGTCCAAAAATCTGATTCTTCGTTATCATGTCCGATCAATTCGCCCCGAAACGTGCGAGCCGCATGAACATTCGTCTTGCGCGCTATCGTACAATGGCTTCACCTTCAAGCAACCTTCATCGTCTCCTTCTCGATATGGTTCCTCACTGTTCGTCGTGGACAATCTCCCAGTTGAGCTCCTTGCCTGCCCAGAATGGAACGACGCTCTGTCCACCTTCTTCCCAACTTTCTGGCACTAGTCTGCCCTGCACACGCTTCAGCGTGATCCTATCTTTGTCAGCGCGAGCTGGAACACCGTAGAAGGCCCTTCCATTCGTGCTAACAAAACCTTCCAGGCGGTCTAGTGCCCCAAAGGAATCAAGCAGGTGCGCAACCAGAGGCAGGAGGATGGCGGAGGTATAAACGCCGGCGGCACATGCATGCGTGGGAGTTGCAGTGGATTTAGTGTGTGGCGGATGTGGTGCGGAGTCGGACCCAAGGAAAAAGCGAGGATGTCCTAGATGTCGCAGTATGTCTAGGCAGGATCGCCAAAAATCACTCACGCATACTTACCTTCTCTCACCGCGTCTCGCAGGGCCTGTCTGTCGTCGGGATATTTAGCGACGGGTTTGCAGAAGTTGAATGACTGGCCAGCCCAGTCGTCTACGATAAGTGCTAGGTGATGGGCTGTTATGGTGCATGCGACCGTGTCGCCCAGGCTCTTGACAAGTTCCACCGCCGCACGGGTGGTGGCGTGTTCGAGCACGATCCGGAGGCGCGGGAAGCGCGCATGCAATTTCTGAAGATGAGGGAGGAAGGCGACTTCTGCGTTAATCACGCAGGTATTGCTGGCCGGATCGGAGGGAACCTCGCCATGCAGATTGAGCACCATGCCTTCCTTTTCCATCGCTGCGAAGAGGGGATAATACGCCTCGTAAGACTCAATTCCTCCTTCCGAGTTAGTTGTTACCCCCCGAGGATAGGATTTTACACCTGCAGCAGTCGTATCGCCGTGAGAAATTGCTGCAATGTTTCAGAACTGACCGACCAACCAACTATGCCGGCATGTCTTGCTTTTCGGATTTCATCCGGAGTGAGTCCAGGAGAAAGGTAGAGCGTCATCAGGTACTCGACTGTGGGATCAACGGCTTGCAATTGGGCTTTGTACAATAGGGCTTCTTCCGTATTCATGACGGGGGGCTTCAGATTTGGCTGCTTTGTGAATTAGAGAGCGAAAATTTGGAATCACATCAAGAATGTCGATACCATGACATACGCCAACCTAAACCCTCCTTTCTTGACATGCTTGGCGAGAAATCCAGCGAACTCTCCCTGACGAAGATGGACATGGAAATCGGCCGGGGACGCAACAGAGATCGTGTCGGACATAGTGAAGGTGAAGAGGAACGGTCACGTGGGACGACGCGTGCTTTTGATTGCCGTTGTTGATCCTGCAACGTTCAACTCTGCTCGCCCACCCGACACACTCCTCGCCCGACACGTCCGCAGCTTCATTCCACGGGAGAACACAGGTCACGGAGAGGGAAAGATACAGACATGGTCGCTGCAGGGTCCATAACGGTTGCAGGTGAGTGGCATCTCTTTGTCACATCACTGCGTAGCGACGGTGCCAAACACACACCGTTCAGTCCGCGTTCGCCCACCAACGTCGTGGGAGGCAGCTCGGCTACCTCAGGCAACATACGACAGTTGCATACGGAGCGATGGCGCGCTGTCCACGCCGGCAAAGTCAGTGACCAACTCCGCGCCGCTCCGAGGAGTCGTCCAGATAGTCGACGACCGCGTTCTCACGTTTGATCCTGACGAGAAAGACCCTTCAAGATCATTCGTGGAGAGAGGCTTTATGCCTCCCGGCACCAAAAGATATAAGGACAGGCGCTTCATATTCGACCGAGTCTTCGACCATCAAGCACGACAGGAGGATGTATACCGTGGCACAGCTAAACCTCTTCTGAGCAATCTCTTGGATGGATTCAATACTACCATATTTGCGTATGGTGTGAGCTTGATATCTTCTAGCACAAGCGACATCCATTGACGGCTAACCCACTCAATAGGCTACGGGATGCGGCAAGACACACACGATCAGTGGCACAGATGCCGACCCAGGCATTATCTATCTTACCATGTCGGACTTGTTCCAACGAATAGACGACCGCAGAGACGACCACATAGTCGACGTGGTCGTCACCTTCCTGGAGATCTACAACGAGGAGATCCGCGATCTCCTCGCAGAGCCGGGCACGCCGCTGCATCGGGGGGGCCTTCAAATCCGCGAGGACAAGACCGTGAAGGTTGTTGGCCTTACTGAGCTTCGACCAAAAAACGCGGACGAAGTGAAGGAGATCGTGCTTCTTGGTAACTCCCGCCGGACACAATCACCAACACACGCGAACGAGACTTCTTCGCGGTCGCATGCTGTTCTGCAAGTACACATTACTCAGGCACCGCGTACAGCGAGCATCACTGAGCAACGCACGATGGCCACATTGTCTATCATCGACCTTGCAGGCAGCGAACGTGCTGCAGCTACGACCAACATGGGCCAGCGCATGGTGGAGGGAGCGAATATCAACAAGTCATTACTCGCGCTTGGAAATTGCATTAATGCTTTATGTGAAAGTGGTGGTGCCCTCCGTCACATCCCATACCGTAACAGCAAGCTCACGCGTCTCCTCAAGTTTTCCCTCGGCGGTAACTGCAAGACTATCATGATCGTCTGCATTGCTCCGACCTCCCTCCATTTTGACGACACGCAGAACGCACTGGTTTATGCTGAACGTGCGACCAGGATCAAGACGAAGGTCGTCACCCGTAACGTCGTGAACGTCGATCGCCACGTGGGCCAGTATGTGGAGGCAATCAACCGTCTCAATTTGGAGGTTGCGGAGCTGAAGCAAAAGCTTACTGGCAAGCGAGATTCCGAGGTCGAGAGGGAGAGACGTAAGAAACGGGACGCCGCGGAAGAAATTGCGAAATCCAAGCGAGATATGCAGCAGAAGGCCGAACAAATGCAATCATCCATCATAGACGGTGCAAGCTGTGCAAGCAAAATCGCGATCGCTGAGGCCAAGCTCCGAGTTATCCGTTCCCGCCTCGCCCAGTTGGATGCCCTGGCTTCATCGCCGGCTTCTCTATCAACCGACTTACAGGCAGAGCGACAGCTGCTGAAGGCACTCGCTCAACCAGAGGAAGAGGTCGTGAAGACTCACTCGCCGCTGAATGTGCGAGTGCAACGGTCCAACAACTCTGATGCCATGTTCGACGCGACTCTTCGTGCAGTCAGCGAGCGACGATCGGACCAGCTTGACGAATATGCGGTTGACAACGTCAAGCTAGACGCTCGATGGCGTAAGGCCGAGATGGAACGTGCTAAAGCAGAGACCGGCCAGGGGGTTCTGCGAGAAGCAATCACCAACCAAGCTGAGTCCATTGTGAGCCTTATCGGCTTGGTGAGCCGATACACCGTGACGTTGGGAGATGCGAGCCGCCTCTTAAGTACAGCTGTTGCGGAAGGACGAGATGGTCTGGATGCGACCGCCAAAGCTGTAGCGATGTCTCTCAAGAACATCTCGGATAGCAACGACAAGGCCTTCCAGGAACTAGTAGGCCACTCCATTGCTGCCTATACGATGGGAGCGAACCCTTCAGCTCCATCGTCGCTCGAGGCGTTCAAGAAGTATCCTTCGGGTCTCGGTCTTGGTCGGGCTTCGATTGCGCCTGCAACTTCGCAGCCTGCGAAGGCTCGAGTATCACTGTCCAGGCGTTCTGCATCATATGGGTCGGCGCTTCCGGCATCTCCGCTACGGAAAGCACACAAGAGCCCACGAAAGTCCCTTCGTTCGAGTATGGCCGCGTCTTTGCCCTACAGGCGTACGTCCGGCCCAGACAAGGGCAAGAAGAAAGGCGTTCAGTGGCGAGATGAAGTCGGCCAAGGCGATCTCGATGACGGCGGTCTAGGTGTCCCAGCGCCGCTTATCAGGGTGTCAGGCTCCAACCAAAGTATTTCATTATCAGCGTCTGGTTCAGAACTAGCCTCTACATCTACGCGCAGCACGTCGAAGGCTGGCTCGGAGAGTGAATGGGAAGACGACAAGACGGAGGAGAGCATGAGCGGCAGCTTTACCCGTAACCCATTTTTAGATTCCTCTGCAGGATCGTCATCTGGCAGTGCTATTCGCAAGAGACCTCGGGCCAGCCGTTTAGACCCAGGCTTCCTCAAGCCTAAGTCAACGGGTACGGCCCTTGACAGTCTAGCAGAGAATGACGAAGAACTTACAGCGATTCAGCCGACACCCACCAAACATCGCATGTCACCTTTGGGGGACCGCAACATGAACCGAGGTCCTTCACCTGATGGGTCGTCAAGCAGTTCGAGCACGTTGGGTCCTCTGCACAGTTCCAAGAGCCACGACCGCCCGCACGGTAGTCCAGCTAAGCGGATGTCTTTGACTCCGAAATCTGTCGGTCTCAACAAGAATACTAGCAGAAGACGCTCAGTCATCGGGCCCTTGCGCAATGATAGGCCACGGAGGCGGACAAGTATGATCCCACAGCTGTCCCCACCTGACAGAGATTCCAACGACTCGGGAAACAGCTCGCAGTTCTTTTCAAATAGCTTGAATGGCGGTACACGCAGAGTGCTCATGAGTACGGGCGAGCGGTCGCCTGCCAAGAGGTCAAAGAGGATGTCGCTGCTGTCTGTCTCATCAAACAGGCTGGCCGCATCTGCGCGGCTGAAACTCCCTGATGCCAACAGCAGCTCTGAGATTAGCTTCAACAAGTCCAGTGGACGACCATTGTGGAGGTGAAGGCTGCTTATAGGAACGATAATCATGTACTGTCATAAACTCGATCTGTACGACTTTTTGTTTACCGTGTTCTGATAACCATGTTGTCCGCTCCGGCTTCACTATTTATGTTCTGCGATGTCCTGCATGATATTACATGTCACGTCCCGTCTTTTTTCTCAACATTGTACCATATATGATACATCCTATATTTGATCTTCGTTGTCGGACAGCCATTACACATCACAGCGATCAGCTGTGCAGAGTTGTTGAGGTTGTTGAACCGTTTAAACCGCTGGGGTGGCAGCCTAGTCGATGTCTGCTTGGTGTCTAACTCCCATGTGCAAATCCATGAATGGCATGAAGGATTATTTCGAGCCCGCGCAACACGAGCCAGCTCAATAGTGCAGGGCAGGAAGGACCCGAAGTGTCCGACGTATCGTTACATATTAGAAAGCGCGTTTTACTTCGAAAAAGGACTGTACAAGGGGGTTTTTCAGAATTGACTCATCAACGAAGAAGAATGTGGACCAACCTTCAAGTAATACACCTGCCATGCCACCACCGAAAAAAGGACGGCCGCTTGGAATATTGACCACCACTTCACTCGAGCGTTTGTCGACTCGGCCGTGTCCCGATGTTTTCGTTCCCGGACGACAATGTACTCCTGCTCGTCCTTCACAGCGGTCAGGCCATTCGCCAATGCGCGAATTTCGCGCTCGATGGGTGCCACGGTCTCTATGCGTTTATGAGATGGATTGTACGAACATAACGGCGACACACTTACCATCATCATCAACATAGATCACACCGTGAACGTTGAAGCTAGTTGATACGTGATTAGAGGGTCACCACAGCGGAGTACTTGTTGCGCACCTGATGAGTTTGTCGACGACGGTGCTCATCATGTTCGAGAAACAGTATTGGTAGCGGCCATCCTTCTTCGCTGTTATGGAGACAGTCCCTGTGCTCTGCTTCTTGTGGTCCGCGAGCGACACATGGTCAGGATCTTGCAACTTGTTTGAGGCAATGCGTAAGTGGCGACTATGTCAACAGTACGAATTGACTTACCCAAAAGTCAACATCAAGGTGGCCTCCACCACCAACTTGGTAAGTCACTGTCATCTAGTGTCTGTAAGCGGTCGGTCCTCCGCGCGACTAACATGAGCCTGTACGCACTTTGTCATTGACATGGAGGTCCTCGAAGAAACACTCCTTCTTTCCTGCCGGTACCTCGATCATATGCGCTGTCGCGACAGCAGGAAGCAGCACACATAACGATATACATAGTGCGAAGAGGGTATATTGCCGTGTCATGTTTGTGGATGGCTGGCGTGCCTAGCAGCAGTCGTGGCAGGACGTGTACACCAGCGTAAGAAACCTGTGGCTCGGTGATGGAAGTGCACGGGGTCCGCAAGATCATCTTCCTCGCGCGCCACTGCAAGGCTCAGAACGCGTCTCGCCGACTCTCTATCACAACTTTTTTTACACGCTCCGGCATTCATCCACCACCTAACACAATCCATCATGACTGACGTTTCTGCACTCGCTCCTCGCGTGAGTATTGCTTTGTTTAAGCGGATTGGGTGCTCGCCTCGATCGATGCAGGCGATCTCGCTACCCCTCTGCGAGACGGCAGCTCACGTTCATTATCTTATCGCAGGAGGAGGAGCACGAACCCCATTATGAGCCTGTAATTAGGCTCACGGAGCAGGTCGAGACCAAGACGTTTGAAGAGGACGAAGATGTCCTCTTCAAAATGTGGGTAGCCACTTGCGGTGTCGATGTTCGAACGACTAATCGTTCGCTGTGCATGTGCATCTCAGGCGTGCAAAGCTCTTCCGGTTCGCTTCGGAGTCATCAGAATGGAAGGAAAGAGGAACTGGCGATGTCCGTCTCCTCCAGCACAAGGAGACGAAGAAGGTTCGACTAGTGATGAGGCGCGATAAGACTCTAAAGGTCTGCGCGAACCACGCGAGTGCGTACCCTCCAGGCCCGCGTTGCTTAATTTGCCTGACTTACTGTCTCGCTCTCAGTCACCTCCGATATGAAGCTGCAGCCCAACATCGGATCCGACAGGAGCTGGGTCTGGAAGGTTGCTGCAGACTACTCTGAGGATCCGCCTACATCCGAGACTCTCGCGATCCGCTTCGCTAACGCAGAGAGTAAGCTACTGATTCTATGTTGTGCTTCAATCTGCCACGCTGACCTTGCTTCACAGACGCGAGCCAGTTCAAGGAAGCATTTGAGGCTGCGCAGAAAACGAACGCGAGCATTGCTGCTTCCGGTGCACCTGCTCCTGCTCCTGCCGCGGCTCCGGAGGAGAAGAAGGCAGAAGAGAAGAAGCCCGAAGAGGAGTCGAAACCGGCAGAAGAGGTCAAGGAGGAGATCGTAGAAGAGAAGGAGGAGGAGACTGCTCCAATCGAAGAGAAGAAGGAGGAGGGGTTTGAAGTGATCAACTCCTCAGAGGCCACTGAAGAGAAGAAGGAGTGATCTTCACGAACCGTAACTGTCTAATTTTTACCGTCTAATGCCTACTGTGCATGGTCTGTCGATTCGTTCCTACTGTTCACTGCAACTCCCGTTCATCACGAGCAGCTATCTTGTCCCGCGAGCAACATAGCGCTCCGTACGTAACAGATCCATGACATCATCCGCTACATGAATTGGCCAATAGTACAACACGTTCTCGGCCGTTGAGGCCTCCAGGTGTTACGTTGGTGTAACAACAATCAAATCTGGCTAGCATTGTCCGGATACCTCTCTTCCTCCTTCGCCCATGCAGCCCAAAAAGCAGAAGCATCGCCCTTGCTCCAGTATTGCGGAGGCTGTTCGCCTTGCGCGACAGCCTCAGATATTAGAATGTGACGGATTGCCTATAGAGCAGCTCAATATCTGGAGACCGAAGTCTATGAGAACGTCTCTACTAACCGACCCTCTAGCGAACCAAAATTCAGAGATCAGAAATGTTAAGACATGTATCAGCATGATAAACTCACGGTGCTTCATACATAGGCTCCAGAAGGAGAGATTCCTGGCGATCTCTTAGATATCTTTGTCCGCACATAGAAGCAGAATTCAACCTCACCATGATACCTCGCAGACCTCTCGCACCTCCGCCTCTTTGAGAAGCTCTACGACATATCTCATCGAGTGCTGCACTAGTGAATCTAATCTCGATGCCAGAGTACCCAAATAGAGCGGTATACTGTGAGATTAGCGAGCCCCTAACTTCTGTGAGGATGCGTCGTAGGTCAGCCGTGGACAAGGGCGACAGTGTCGTTATTGAAGGCATCCGAGAAATGAACTCTGGGATGAACCTGGGATAGCGTGAGATCTCTTAACAAGCCAACGACGCAACTAGCACGTACCCGTATTTGACTAAATCTGGATGTGGGCAATGTCGAAATCGGGAGAACACACGCAGGGAGAAGCGACGCACCCTGAGGTTCCACATGGTCCAGCAGACTTGTGCTTGATCGCTTGTTCGGCGTGAAGAACGGCATGTCACTGCTTTCTTCCATGGATGGTGATAGATTGGCCGTAAAACCGATCGACTGGTTCCGTCGTTCCACCGTTAGATCGCATGATCTCAAGCTCAAACGAGGGGAACGTACTCCTTTTACCACACGTCGTTTGATAATGTTCTCCAGGCCGACGAAGGCGCCACTGAGTACAAATAGTACGTTTGACGTGTCAATGGAATACGAATCTGGTCTTGCTTTTGAATTTTTGTGTAATCAGCAGCTCAGCAGGCGCACACCAACCTTGAACTTACGGCCATTAAGATTCACGGAACGCTGACCAGTCCTTGTCCGACTATCTCCGCCTATTGAAGATGAGACCGCATGCGATCCCTTAGATTGAACTGTGACAGTCGTTCCCTCCATCATACGAAGCAATGCCTGCTGCACTCCTTCGCCACCAACATCTCGAGTGCCGTCAACGCCGCCGCCGCCTGCCTTTCTGGCGATCTTATCAATTTCGTCGATGTAAACGATACCCATGCTTAACGATGCCGCTCAGCGTTTACCCTACCATCACAGACGACCTATCTTACCTTGCACGATATGGATCCCAGTTGGCCTCTTGCAACTGAACATATTCCGATCAGAGTCATAGCGCACATGATTACTGACACTCACAAGTCGTTGTATGCATACATCAACGTCATCTCCTACATCTGGTCAGAGTCGCGTCAAATAAGTCTCGAATGACCCAGATGAAGGAAATCACACACAGCCTGCCTGAAAGAAGTTAGTCTCGCAAACAATACTCTTGAGAACGTGCGCTAACCTGAGTGAACGATGTCGCGTCGCTCACTGAGAACGGCACGTTAAGAACGTTGGCAAGTGTTCTTGCCAGCAACGTCTTGCCTATATCGTTTGTTCATCACTTGCATCATGCTCTCTCGATATACATACCTGAGCCTGTTGGACCGCTTCAAGGAGGGGCATGACAATTGGTGTCAATGCGAGTGGATGCTCCATAATGAGAACATGACATACATGACCAGAACATTGCTCTTCTCGAACAATGGCATAGATCGTTGTGGCTGTAATGGCAGCGGGTGCAGGCGCAGGCGGTCGGGATGTGGATGTACTCGTGCACTGACAACTGGCTGTGCTATGCGTAACGTTATACAAGATGAAAATATATGATCAATGTCGCGGTGCTCACATTCGTCCTTCGGGTCTAGCCACTCTGCCTGATCATTGGACTTCTCCAGCGACGAGAGGTTCGCATGCACTCGGTTGTAATGGTTGAACACGCTGTGCATATGTCGAATCTCCAGCGTTCATGACGAGAGATATCTGTACTTACGCCACGGAGAGAACTTTCTTAGCATTCTCCTGGCCAATCACGAATTCACTCAAGTACTGCACGAGCTACGTATCGGTGACATGTCAGAGTTAAAGGATCTCGCTCAAGTTCAGGCCGCAATCGTACCTGTCGTGGGGTCGCTAGTCCAGGAGGCCTCGAGAAGAATGGTCCGCTGCTCAGCTCATCCTCCGGGGGATAGTCATAGCGCGCTTGAGTGCGGAGACCCCGCCGAGTTAATGCACGCAAGTGGCGACTTTGGCGAGAGCACCAAGCCATTGTCGATTTCCGCGGGGCACAGTCAGACAGGAATTGCAGTATAATTTAGGCTGTAGAAACTGCAGATAGCAAAGACAATATCACTGGGCGTGGTTGGGCCTCACTAATGCAAGGAGTGCGAAATGAGTCGTGAAGCGCTCAATATTGGGAGCATCACACAAGAGCGCCAGGCCGGCGCGGTGGCTGCGCGTGATTCTTCTTCACTTACGCCCATCACCAGCCTCGAGTGAGTGGACACTCCTGCTCATATCCACGTTCTGCCATAGTGACATGGCGAGACGTCATTCACGGTCAGCATCCCCTCGCGGTAGAAACCGCGACAAGTCTCGGGATAGGGATACAGACATACGGAAACACTCTTCTCGATACGATTCAGACGAGGAAGATAAGCGCAGGTCGCGTCGTACCAGGAGCCGCAGTAGAGATGGCGAGGATAATCAGCACAAGCACAGAAAGGACAGAAGTCCTAGCGAGGACCGGGAGCGGAAGAAGTGAGTCCTCGATGATATGACCCATTGTTCCAGGACCAGTCTGACGCTTTGAGATTTAGGCGCAAGCGCGACAAATCGGCGGATCGCAAAGCACGTAAGGCAGAGAAGAAAAGAGCGAGGGAGGAAGAGGAAGCTCGCCAAGTGGCCGAGCTGAGCGTCTACAGTGCTACCGACAACCCTTTCCACGACGTCAATCTCAGCCAACAGTTCCGTTGGCACAAGAAGAATGAGAAGGAGCGTAAACAAGGACTCTCGCTTGAGGAGGCGCAGAGAAGGGATGCCATCCGAAGACAGGAGGCCAAAGAGGAGCTGGAGAGGTTGAACAAACGGCGTGCGGAACGAGAGGCAGAGCAGAGGTTGAGGGAAGAAGAGGAAGTGAGAATGCATAGGCTTGCGGAGTCTGCGCAGATGGCGGATTGGCTTGCCAAAGAGGGGGACTTCCAACTCGAACAAGAGCGTAGGAGGGCTGCTATTCGCATCAAGGAGAAGAGGGCAAAAGCCGTTGACTTTTTGGCACTCAACTTACGATATGTCAATCCGCCTGACGAGGAGGAAGAGGAGACGGACGACGACGGCCTGGAAATTGACTTGGACGAACCGTACAATATCTTTGAGGTTGAGTCCGCAGCGTCTAAGTATCTATCTAATGCAGTACTGACTGACCGCAGAGTCTGTCTCCGGAGCAAGTCGATGAATTGCACGATGACATTGAGAAGTACCTGGGGCTTGAACAGTCGGAGGTTAACATCGAGTTCTGGACTGTAAGTATGATTTCTATCAGGTATATGGGTGACATGAGTTTATTTCTTTTCTGCAGAACATGATGGTCATCTGCAAAGACCAACTTGATCGCATCAAGGCAAATAAGAGTCTCGGCGTCGAAGCTGCTGCGGCAGTGGAGTCGGACATCACTGCGTTGTTGCAGGGCAAATCTTATGACCACCTGGTCGCTCTCCAGAAACAGGTGCAGGCTAAATTAACCAGTGGAGAACCGATTGACACCGACTATTGGGAGGGACTGCTCAAGAAATTGCTTGTGTGGAAAGCAAAGGTTAGATCCCATAATCTCGAATACCCTCTTGAGCATTTGTCTCACGTCACCAATAGGCGAAATTGAAAGCGCTACACGAGGTAGTTGTTCGTAACCGCCTCGAGCAGCTCCGCAAGAGACAACGCGATGAAGCATTGCAAGCACAAGAGGAGCTGTTGGCTGGTGTTGCCAAGTCAGCATCAACGAGAGACGGTCGCAACATCGTTCCTGTCGCGAGCCATGCCCATGAAGCCGAAGTAGCGGAAGAAGTTGAGGAGTACGATAGATCAATGAGCCCAGAACTGTTGGATATCAGGAAGTTGCCATATGAGGAGCGACAAATCGACATCGTCTCTGTGAAGGATGATTTACGCGCTCTTGTGAGTACACTTGGCTCGCATGCCTCCACATGGCTTATGCTGTCCATTTTCAGATGGAACAAAGGCGTGCTGTGGCAGCCTCGCGCTTCGTTCCGAAGAGTGCACAAGCTCCAGTCGAGGTGCCAGATGTCGAGGCTCCGAGCGGGGCAGACCTTGCCTCCGAAGCCCTCTACCGAGCAGAGGCGGAGAGGGAGCTGGACGAGGAAGAAGAGCTCTTCAACGTCGAAGAGAACATTCCCAACCCCACTTCGTACAACTGGGAGGACAAGTATCGCCCGCGAAAGCCGCGATACTTCAACCGTGTCCACACCGGGTACGAATGGAACAAGTATAATCAGACACATTATGAGTGAGTGCTCGGTTTCCCATTGTGTCACAAAGGATAGTAGCTCAAAGGATACAGCACGGACAATCCGCCCCCCAAAGTCGTGCAAGGATATAAAGTAAGTGGACGATGAACAGTGCAGCAATCATGTGGTTTCTAATGTTTCTTCCAGTTCAACATATTTTACCCAGACCTTATCGACAAATCAAAAGCGCCGACGTATAAGATTGTCAAGGAGCCCGGCAATGACGAGACTGTCATCTTGCTGTTCAGTGCTGGACCTCCTTATGAAGACATCGCATTCAGGATCGTTGACCGGGAATGGGAGTTCTCTCACAAGCGGTAAGGCTTCCTCCACCTCATTGAATGAATACAACTGAGATAACTTCTTAATAGCGGCTTCCGGAGCAGCTTCGACAGGGGATGTCTATCGCTTTGGTTCAACTTCCGCCGCAATGTAAGTGGTCATCGTGTGGTACATGCCAAGATGTGCGCTCAAATGTTTTGCACAGTTCTATCGCAAGTGATTGTATTCGCTTACCTTCACCTCTTGCTCTTTTCTAGTTGAAAGCTCTGTAGTTTCTTCTCTCCATAATGCTGTCGAATCCATACAATAAATGCTCTTTCGGGTAGAGGTTTTTTTTTGTATCTCTGGTGGCGGACGAATATCTCCTATGATCGAATCGCTGCGCTGATGGCGGGACCGCAATCATGATCAGGTTACCCACTCCTGAGTGAAGTCGATACATGTAACCGTCGCGTGGAAGCGCTGGCAAATTGCAACTTCCACTGATCGGCATACAATTGCTGGTAGATCCGCACTGCAGTCCATTACTCTCGAGCGCTTGATTGCAGATAAGCTGCGATGTCTGTTGTAGTACGGCTATCAAGCACTGCAGCTGACTTCGAACGACATTGACTCAAGTGAGCTACGTGCACATAACGTGAGTGGTGTGTGTCCACGTCCACTGATACTATTACACAATCTACGTACAACAATCCAGAGGCAATTATCTCTCCGAGGTTTAACCCCGCTCCATAGCGACGAATGACTGACGATGCAAGCCGAAAGAGCACCTACATAAGAGAGGTAGCTGCTTCGGACTCGGCCGCTCTCTCCCGTATATGCCTCCTCACAGGGGATGCAGGCAAGTCCGCAGAACATCTGCACGACTATGATGAGCTGCCAGGTCTCATCTACGCCGAACCCTACGCCCGACTCCCTGCCGCATTCGGCTTCGTAATGGTCGATCCCGCCAAATCCGATGAGGTGGTCGGGTACATCCTCGGCACCCACGACACCAGAGCGTTCGAACGCGAGGCCGTCGAATCATGGTTTCCCAAGATCCGCGAGCGATATCCATACCACGAGACTCCTGCGCATCCTGACGATCCGACCAAGCCGCTGTCAAATGACGATGCGCGATACGTCCGTCTATTGCATCATCCACCCCATGCGTCGAGCCTGTACATCCAGTTCTCCCCTGCTCACCTGCACATCGATATCCTACCCGAATATCAGCGGCAAGGGTGGGGCCGGACGTTGATCGCGCGGGCTGTGAAACACCTGGAAGAAAAGGGGTTGACGCGGGTCTGGCTGGGCTTGGATCCGCGCAATACCGGCGCGAAGAGATTTTACGAGAAGCTGGGTTTTAGGGAGCTCGAAGGCGCTCCTGACGGAACGATGGGGCTCGAGTTCGAGGACCTGCAGGCGTAGGCATGCGGCACCAGCTGTCCATTGCGCAGATCCTGGCTGACCTACCTGAAATGTCTCGAATCAGACATCACCTGCTCGCTAGCCTGTGAGAGCGGTAGTAGCGGAAGCTGGAATTTGATTGGTCAATCCATCTACTCCATGGGAACGTCATCGTTAGAATTTGTCTGGAGAACTTCGCGCAGCGTCTGGATTGGTTTGAAGAAGCGGCCTATCAGTAGCGAGGACGCTCTGCCTCCCGGTGGAACCGCGCTATCCCATAACTTGCCGCTTGATGATGAACGTGACCCACCTTACAAAGTTGCGAACTATGACTACGGATGACCGATGCTGAGTCATTTTCAGCAGGTCTGCGATCATCTGCCGACTACATTACGCCGAAATCAGTCTCCAAGTTACGGCGAGAGTAGGAAAGAAAACGCTAACCGACTGCGCGAATATTGCGCCCACGGCAACTGGGTTACCGCGCTGCAGGCTCCTGCAGGTTGGAGTGGCAGACGCCCACATACCGAATACTTGGCCAGACGGCACCGGATTGTCCCGGCGTGAAAGAGCATCGGGCGGCGAAGCACCGCGGCGAACGTGGCGCATCGGTGGAGCCGTATCCGACGATTGGTGATCATCGGGGATTTTTTGTCCGCCTACTTCTCGGTCGCTCCCTTCTCAGTCCCGCGCGCCACTGGTGCCTCATTGGCTGCTAGAGTCATTCGCGACGGTGATGGCGTGCAGCGTGGTGCGAGATGTCGATGAGGGTTGCGAGGGGCTTGTTCATGTATTCCCAGGACAAGCTGACAGTCCTTGCGCATGACTTGCTGACCTGCTTGCGGACACCGGAGGTCTATGATACGTGAGACCTGTGAGAAGCAGGCTGACAGTTGTCAACGACGGCGAGGTCACGGTGCGCAACTTTGTCAAAAGAACCTGAGCTACGGTTGCCTGTCGCAAGTGTAATTGATAATGTCCACTGAGGTTGACGTAGACATACTATCATTTAGTACTTCTAGATATAATTCTTCATGAGTACAGAACGGCCTCACCGTTATCATTGAATAAGCTTCTACGTAAACGGCGAATCATCTTCATCATGTGCTTGCAAGAAGTGGCTTCATGCACCGCTAGGAGATACTACGGATGTTGTGGTTTCGTGGTGTGTCTGCGAAAGCGTTCTCACTGCACCAATGTTAATTGTTACCATTTTGCTGCGACCAAAGACGCGTCGCACGTTCGTCGCTGTCCGTGAGCCTGGACGTAAGGTTTTTTTTGAGCCGTTGGGTATGTGTTCGTCCTTTACACTGACGGACACGAGAGTTGGTATCGGTTGAATCGACGCCAAGGGATCGACATGCGATGCGGGCCTCCATCTCCCGCTGGCCAGCGCTATCTGTCCAGCGTACACCACGTCGCTGACGTGGTACATTCTCGAACTGTGAGTATGATGTAGGCCACCAAGAGGGCACTCACAACCCGAAGTGCACTCTAGGGCTGGATGTCAGATGCTCCTTGCTCGCAATGGTGGATAGAGGACGGCGAGAGACAGGGAACGACACCAGAGCTTGTGAAACTACTTCCTCGGCAGCGCGTGCGTGCCTCAGGGAAGACCGAAGTCGTCGTGTTTAGCAACAAAGTCCCGAATGTTCATGGCCGTTCGTTCGTGGTGCCAACGGTCGCCTCTCGGGCCGCATGGCGTAAACTAGGTTCATCGCCCTGTGCAACACAGAGCGGGAGACCGTTCGCGAACCTTCTGCCTACACCGGGGGAGAGCGACGAACCCTCATGAAAGCGATGCCAAAACGGATCTTGAGCGTGAGCGCGTGCGCCTCGCACCCAGTGTCCTCCTATCCGAGAAATCAGCCTGAAAAACGTAACAAGATATGCCGCTCAGACGGCACGCGTTTCGGATATCAGTCTTATCAATAATGAAGGACTTCCCATCGAGCTTAAGGAGGATCCGGGGAGGGCAAGGCACAGCTAGTCTGCTCCAGACGCCTGTCGACATTGCTCTAGAGCGGCTTGTATGTAAGTATTTGAACACGAGGAGATCTGCTAACCATCTTGGGTACTTCTAATGTTCGAACCGGCGGTCGCCCGCACGTCGATGAGTGACCATTAAGAAAGACGAACAGAGTAATGCTTGCTCACCGTGCTCATTCAACATTGGTTCAACGATGAAAAAACTACGGGAGCCGATGCCTGTGCGAAGGCGTTAGAAGACCGAGCATCGCCGCTGTACGCTCCACGGTCATGCGCCATCATGCGGCCAGCCATGTCGCTATCCGAATTTACCACCTAGACTGCGCGAGCGCGTTCCAGAGTACCGACTGCGAAGATTCAAAAAGAGCATCAAGTGCTTCGAGCTCCTCGTAGAATAAAATGTCAGCAGTCAAAAGACGGCCCAGGCAGCATCACGCCTCTCTCTGGGTCGCCACAGACTCGTGAGTTGCACGTTGCGACGGAGCAAGTGCTGGTTACCGCAGCGCGAGGCGTGACGGTGGCGTGCACGCGAGCCTCCGCGGCGCAATTGTGGACGCGTTGTTTGCGGCTGATCCGGCGCCTACTGCTGCCGCATACTTAGGTTTATTATGGTCTGGTCCACACCCAGGTCCGCTCTGCACGCTTTCGCAAGAGAAGACCAGCACTTGGAAGGTAATGTAGCGCGGGGGATTATAGACATCTCGTCTATCAATGGACATCTTGCGCACTCCAGAGCGGCGAGAAAGCGTTCCAGGTGCGAATTTGATACGTTAGGCATGCCCGGCGAGCGGCGATTGGACGGATAGAGCCAATCTTATCCTATTTGAGCACTCTAGGTGCGCCAAATCTCCAAAGAGAGCGCACTAGGCGGTAGGTGCGCATACAATACATTGATCTGGACGTGTATCGCCGCTCAAACCCATCTTCCCTAATGCAGTGTCATAGATCCTGTTCCCGAACGTGGAGCTCCCAGGAATAGCAGCTGACCGTCAAATTCCTCCCGACGAAACAGGTCGGGATATCAACTGGTGCTTCCAGAGCGCGCTCATCACATCCAGGTATCCATCCACGGGCCTCCAGAGCGCACTCGGCGCTCTGATTCCTGCGAATATTATTACAAGAGCAACTATGCACGGTGTGTATTTCTTTACCGTTATAGGGAAAGCGGCGGTATCTGTTGGCGCAGCTACATCGGTCACGGATATCTAGTCAGCAGGCCACGCAGAACACAATCCAGAGCGCACAGATATCCGCAGAGCGAACTACAGCTGGCACCTGCCATAAATCGAGGGGCACACGTACCTTGTTGCCCTGACCACAGCCTACCCAAGCGAGGTCCTCCACCCTCGAGTGTGTCGCCTGGATGACACCAGCCACAGAGACGGGGCCACATTACAACTCCCGAGCACTATCCCTAGAACGCGCCGAAACCTGCACCGCACCTCGCTCAGGGTTATCCAGAACCGTATGCACAGTCGCAGGCAAAAGCTGTTCTGCACCGCTCGCGCGGACGGCCCGGCCAAAGACTTCGACGCCGCGAAGCCATTCGGCGGTGCAAAAGAATTCGCTCTCGAGCGACGCAGAATACAAATCGCCGCTCTCGGAACGCAACCTCCGGGCGCCTCTGGACCGTCGCCGTTGCCCTCTAACACGCTGTCCGAGTCCCAGGAGCACGGCGACGGCGGCGGGCGGCGGCCAGCGCGTGTATCACGCGCAGCTTGCGAAGCCCATCCTCCG